AAAATGATCTGCGTGGTAAGATCCACGCAAATATCCATGAGCTTCAGAATGCCGTTCAACGTTCGCTGACAAAGAACTTTCCAGATGGCTTCCACAGGATATATCAGAAGTGGATAGAACGACATCAGCTGTGTGTGAAAGCTAAGGGGAACTACTTTGAACATGAAATAGAATGCTAACTTGAAAGTAGAAATGTGGAGTAGCCACAGAACTATGGTTGAAATATAGACAGGACAGAAACTAACGTTAACAAAATCTACTATGCTGTGAACTTATAAAATTGCTCCGCAGAACCCGTATTCGCGTAACTATGACAACCACCATTTTGCTGTTATTCATTATATCTTGATCATTTTTTCAGGATAGTTAGAAAAGTGTCTGATGCTTCTCCACTGAAAATTTGAACGATGATAGACAAGAAATAAAAGTTTGAGAGCAAAATTAGCTTTACTTACTGAACGCCCTGTACTTTGAACCACTTGTGGAATTAAGTTCTTTATAATATAATTTTGATATTAAAACAATAGCCCGCCACGACGTGCCAGAATTTTACTCAAATATTTTATATATTCACTCTGATATAAGGAATATGCCAGGTCCAAGAACTAGTTAAAAGTGAAATACTCTGGAATAATAGATTGGTTCTAATTAATAACAAAGAGGTAATAAATAAGCATCTAATGGATAATGGGGTAATTTACGTAAATGACCTCCTAAACGACCAGGGACATTTTTACAGTTTTATGATTTCAAGGCAACATACAACGAACAAATTAATTTTATTGATTATTAGGAGGCCCTCCTGAAAGGGCCTCTTATAGCTTTTGTAGCTTTTCTTTATTCTTTATTCTTTATTCTTTATTCTTTATTTATTATTCTTCCAAAGCATTTTTCTCCTACTTCCAACTAGCTTTCAACTACCTACTATATGATCCTACTAGGAACCTTGTCTGGAATAGGGGGGAAAATATTTTTTATCTAGGTCAAGGTCAAAGGTCAAAATCTAGGTCAAATCTAAGTTTTTTTCAAGTTTCTCAAGTTTGTCATTATACTTCATCATTTCTTGCGATGAATTAAACTGAAACTACATTTAAGTATTCTCTACAAATTGTTCACTATATGTCAGCATTAAATTTTTACCGTTTTTGAGATGTTTGACGTCAAAAAACGGTCAAAAAAGGTCATTTTTCAACTTGCTTCAATCTGACCAAATTTTTTTTAAAAATCATCTACAAATTCCCAGGATTCCAAATCTGACCTCAGATTTGACCTTTGACCTTCGGTTGACCTTCAGTGACCTCCGAAAGGTCAAAAAAGTTGATTTTTCAAATCGATTTTCTGGATTCAAATTTAGGTATATCTATTCACAAAAGACCTTCTGAGGTCTAAAAAAGTAAAATTTGCAAGGTCAAAGGTCAAGGTCATCAAACGAAATCACAAACTGTGTTTTCTAAGTTTCTCAAAATTGGAGACTACAAATCAATTTTTTTTACTGAAAGTCAGAATATATATTCCTCTAAAGGCTCTACACATATTAGCAATTGACTATTTATTAAAATTTTGCTCCAGTTTTGAGATATTAGAACTCAAAAACTGAAAAATGGTCAAATTTCGAAATTTTTGAGGGTCAAATTTCAACTTGCTCTAAATTGACCAAACTTTTTTTTAAAAAGCATCTACAAGATCTCAGGAACTCAAATCTGACCTTAGTTTTGACCTATGACCTTTAGTTGACCTTCAGTGACCTTCGAAAGGTCAGAAAAGTTGATTTTTCAAATTGAGTCTTTGGATTCAAATTTAGGTCAGTCTAATTACAAAAAGCCTACTGAGGTCTCAAAAAGTAAAAATTTCAAGGTCACGGTCAAGGTCATCAAATTAGGTCACAAACTGTGCTATCTAAGTTTCTCATACTTCAAGACTACAAATCAATATTTTTAATTGAAAGTCAAGATATACTTTTCTCTAAGGGTTCTACACATATTAGTCATTGACTATTTATTAAAATTTTGTCCCACTTTTGAGATATAAGAGCTCAAAAACTGAAAAAGGTCATTTTTTCAAAGTTTATAAGGTCAAATTTTAACTTCCTTCAAATTCACACAACTTTTTTTAAAAAATCATCTTCAACTTCTCAGGAGTTCATGTTTAACCTTAGATTTGATATTTGACTTTTAGTTGACCTTCAGTGACCTTTGAAATGTCAGAAAAGTTGATTTTTCAAATTTTTGGACTCAAATTTAGGGTTGGCCTAATCAAAAAAAACTACTGAGCTCTAGAATAGTAAAATTTTCAAGGTCAAGGGTCACGGTTATCAAATTAGGTCAAAGGTCAAGATCTAGGTCAAATCTAAATTTTTTTCAAGTTTCTCAACTTTGTCCTTATACTTCGTTATTTCTTGCGATGAATTAAACTGAAACTACATTTTGGTATTCTCTATAAATTCTTCACTATATGTCAGCATTAAATTTTTACCGTTTTTGAGATATTTGACGTAAAAAAACGGTCAAAAAAGGTCATTTTTCAACTTGCTTCAATCTGACCAAATTTTTTTTATAACTCATCTACAAGTTCCCAGGAGTCCAAATCTGACCTCAGATTTGACCTTTGAACTTTAATTGACCTTCAATGACCTTCGAAAGGTAAGAAAAGTTGATTTTTTAAATTGAGTCTTTGGATTCAAAAGGTCAGCTTAATTACAAAAGTCCTACTGAGGTCTGAAAAAGTAAAACTTTTCAAAGTCAAAGGTCAAGATCATGAAATTAGGTCACAAACTGTGCTATCTAAGTTTCGCAAAGTTCGACTACAAACCAATATTTTTAATCCTGAGTCGAAATAAACACATTCCTCTAAGGGTTGTACACATATTAGCAATTGAATATCTAATTGAATTTTGTCCCAGTTTGAGATATAAGAGTTCAAAAGTTGAAAAAAGGTCAATTTCGAAATCTTTCAAGGTCAAATTTAAACTCGCTTCAAATTGACAAAATCTTTTTTTGAAAATCATCTACAAGTTTTCAGGAGTTCACATCTGACCTCAGATTTGATATTTGTCCTTTAGTTGACCTTCAAATTGTCAAAAATGCCTAAGAGGGCCTCCGTGAGATTGCTTGCAATCTTCAAAAGTCTAGTTATGCTGTAATATCAGCTGTACCGAAGGAGTGGAAACGCTTATTGAAGCGAGACTTAACTTCTGTCTTTGAACCGAGCCTACAAACGGATCTTGTGCATTTAACACTTAGCGAAAAACCAGTGTCATTGGACGGTTTAACAGTAAAGTCAATTCAAAAAATAATAAATAGAAACAAATATTTGGAACCACTGTATAAAGATAAACTTGATCGTGAGTTAAAAAGAACACACTACTTATAGCTGCACGAAACAAAATAAAATTCGACGACTCCAATTTAAGATTCTTCATGGTATTTGTACCACAAATGTTTTGAGAATGTAGGCGGCTTCAGATTTTTTGTAAGCTATTAAAGAGAATTTAGAGATATTATTTAATGTAAATCTTGATTTTAATGCCCATGATATGGTGCTCGGAAGATCTGTAAATAATAAAAACACTTTGCTAAATAGGCTATCAGTAGCAATCAAATATTATATATATATGCAAAAAAAGTTAATGAGGTAAATCCCAACTTGGACGTGACTCAATTTGAAAATACTATGTTTTGAACGTTTGGGTATGACTGTTGCGAATGTCTGAATGAATGGAGGTGGTGTGAAAGTGGTTTAATATTTCATTTTTGCCTTGTTAAATGTATTATTTCATGTTTGATTCAATAAAAAATAACTTATGTACATACACATTGCACATGATGCTCCTCTCAAAACAAGTATATTGAACTCATCAAGTACTGCTTCACGTATACAGGTATGTACATGTATATGGATGTTTACCATCAGAGTTCATCGTCTGAAGTTCGTGTTTAGTTATTTTAACACTTGACACTCGACAGACAAACAGCGACTCATCGGAGTAACAAACCTCACCAAATTATTATAAGCAAATCCTTTATTTTGTTAAATCATTCATAATTTTTCATAAGTTTTTTTAATAGAAAATAGTAGACAGTGTATTGTCTCCTATTGGCGAGATCTGCACAAATGACGTAACTCGAGTAATTTCAAGATCCCTTTCTAAAAAAACATTTGGAATGACAAAAACCAGAGACATATGAGAGTGCTCTAAGTCAACTTACTCTAGTCAATACTCAATTACTCTCCTAAGCCGATGCCGGCTGGTGTTTTTAAAAAAAGTATTTATTATATGTTATTGAAATGTGGTTTTTAAACCTCAGTCCTGTGACACAGAAATAAAATATTTTAAACTAAACTAAATTAAACTAAACTAAACTAAAATGTTGATGTGGTTATTGTGTGCCAAAACTGTTATCACAAATTATACAGTGCGTCCAAAAAAAGCAACAAACAAAAATATTGTAAAATCACAAAACCAGTGATGATTACATCAATATCATTTAGTTTACCACATGAAGCCATGTGTCTCCCCTATCCAATGGTATGTCATTTTTTATATCTGATCATGGACCACTGAAAATCATTGTATTTTCGTTCATAGGTGAAAAGGCCTTTGTGCCAAGTTATGAAATATCAATCAACTAATCCTAATCAGGTAAATCATCATGTAATTGGTCCTGGGGATTAAATTCATGTCATAAGATTTACATAACACATGTTTCTGATTTAGATTTACTAAAAAAAGAAAAAGGAAAATAAAATTTAACCTTATGTGTTCATCAGTATCCTTGTTGGTTCAGTTACCGAAACATATGGAAAAAAGAAGTGCCATAAACAGTCGTTGTCTGTCATCTTATGAAAGATTACTCATGAAAGATTACATCCCTGTCCTTTCACACGACCACTACTGTATTTCTCTACACACAGAGACTTGCTTGTGTTTACATGTCGCAGCTACACCTCTTTGGATCATCTGGGGTTCTGGCGGAGAGCAGCAACCTCATTGGTGACTAGTACTCTTTGTTATTTTGTCTGCAGATTTTGGCCCGTTGTGCAAAAGGAATGATTATTCAGTGGTCTGTGGTCGTATATGAATAATTAGCATGCCATTTCAAAGAGGGGATATGTGGCTTCCTGGAAAACTAAATGAAATTGATGTAATCATCACTGGTTTTGTGATTTTGCAATGTCTTTGTTTGTTGCGTTTCTTTGGGACGCATTGTATTTCTCCTGAAAAAGGTAAACAATTTTGAATTTAGCAGCCCTCTTGAAAGCCCTTCTTGAGCAGAGCACATGGAATCAGCAAATAAAAGCTTAGTAAAATCTGACAATACCGATATTTAAGTGTTATAAATGTTTTTTTTACCAAAATAGCAACTTTTCAAGACAAAAATTTGGAGCAAATTCAATATTCTGGTATTCAAGTTATGAAAAATTACATTTTTTTGAAAAATCACGGGCGCTTGAAATTAGGTGACCATCGATTTCTTTTTGAACAGAAATCCTCATTCTCTAAGACATCGGTATATAAAGAATTTGGCGGCCATTATATTGGAAACTTGTTTTCATGCAGAGGTCTTATAAGGCATTAGCCTCTTAAATGTGAATCTGGTCTGTCGACCGATATTGATATTATCACCTAGGCAGACGAACGGACAAAAGAAAAGACGGACGGACAGATGGACGACTTCTCTATATTCTCCTCGAACTTTCTTCGGGGAATAATAAATATGGCGTCTGACTGTATGCGAAGCAAACTTGTGAATAGGTATTGGGTGTATGGTAAGGATTACTACAAAGATGGTTTTATGCCTTACCCTCACTATCATCCCGCAGGATACTCCGATGAATGTAAAAATCTTGAAATACGAGATGATGACATATTCTTCACTGGCTTTCCGAGATCAGGTATGGGACATCGTTATTTTATATTTATTTATTCTCATTCCGATGACAAGAAATATCAATATCTTAAAAAATAACCAAAGGCCACAAGAACTAAAAATTGCTGCCAAATAATAATTTCTCGAACTTCTCGAACATATGCAAAATTTTGAAGTAAGTGGAATTAATGAAGTCGCCATTGCCAGGCAAAGTAAATGTAAGGTAAGAAAGAGAGCTTTAAGATCTGCCTGTACTATTGGCGACGTTTGCAGGGACCCACATTGGTGTAGAGCTAATACAAAGTGTGCAGAATGTTGGCAACAAGGACTTCCTCAAGAAACACATCCACGACCGTGTGGAAATGGTTCACATATCTAAAGATGGTATGTAGTTATATTTTACGACATTAATACGACAAGCTGTCAACATTTGGTTACAATTAACGTGACAATATGTCACCATTTTTTGCAATTAACGTTACAAGATGTCATCATTTGATTACAATATACGTGACAAGACGTCACCATTTGGTTGCAATTAACGTGAGAAGCTGTCAACATTTGGTTGCAATTAACGTGACAAGATGTCGCCATTTGGTCGCAATTACTGTGACAAGATGTCATCATTTGGTTGTCATCGTTTCAATTGGTTGCAATTTACGTTACCAGGTGTCACAATTTGGTTGAAATTGACAAGGCAAGTTGTCACCGTTTGGTTGCAATTAACGTGACAATTTGTCACAGTTTGGTTGCATTTGACGTGGCAAGATGTCAACGTTCGATTGCAATGAACGTGACAAGTTGTCACCATTTGGTTGCAATCGACATGGCAAGATGTCACCATTTGGTTGCAATTGACTAAGCAAGATGTCACCATTCGGTGTCAATTAACGTGACAAATTGACATCGTTTGGTTGCAATTGACGTGGCAAGATGCCACCGTATGGTTGCAATGACGTGGAAACTGTTCGGTAGCAATTGACGCGACAAGTTGTCACTGTTTGGTCGCAATTGATTTGGCAAGATGTCAACGTTTGGTTGCAATTAAAGTGCCAAAATGTCACTATTTGGTTGCAATTGACGCGACAAATTGTCACCGTTTGGTTGCAATTGATTTGGCAAGATGTCAACGTTCGATTGCAATTAACATGACAAATTGTCACCGTTTGGTTGCAATTGACTAAGCAAGATGTCACCATTCGGTGTCAATTAACGTGACAAATTGACATCGTTTGGTTGCAATTGACGTGGCAAGATGCCACCGTATGGTTGCAATGACGTGGAAACTGTTCGGTAGCAATTGACGCGACAAGTTGTCAACGTTTGGTTGGAATTGATTTGGCAAGATGTCAACGTTTGGTTGCAATTAAAGTGCCAAAATGTCACTATTTGGTTGCAATTGACGCGACAAGTTGTCACCGTTTGGTTGCAATTGATTTGGCAAGATGTCAACGTTTGGTTTCAATTAAAGTGACAAAATGTCACCATTTAGTTGCAATTGACGTTGCAAGATGTCACCGTTTAGTTGCAATTGTTGTGGCAAGATGTCATCGTTCGGTTGCAATTAAAGTGACACGATGTCAGTTTTTAGTTGCAATTGTTGTGGCAAGATGTCATCGTCCGATTGCAATTAAATAGACAAGATGTCACCATTTGGTTGCAATTGACATGGAAAGTTGTTACTGTTTGTTTCCAATTAACGTGATAAGTTGTCACCGTTTGGTTGAAATCAACGTGACAAGTTGTCAACATTTAGTTGCAATCAACGTGGCAAGATGTCACCGTTTGCTTGCAATTAACATGACAAGATGTCACAGTTTGGTTGCAATTGGCGTGGCAAGATGTCATCGTTTGGTTGCAATGAATGTGACAAGATGTCACAGTTTGTTACAATTAACATGACAAGATGTCACAATTTAATTGCAATTAACTTGACAAGATGTTATCATACAGTTGCAATTAACGTCACAATAATCGCTTGCTTATATTCACGTTCGCTTATTTTAGCATAGTCATGAGATAAAAATGATTTTTTAGTTATGACAGGAAAGGTTTCCCTTTTGGAATATGGTGAAAATCCACTTCCAAGATTATCTGCTCAGCCTTCACCTCGATTTCTATTCGGTCCACACCTACCCTATGAATTTTGCCCATTGGGTATACAGCAAGGAAATTGCAAGGTACATGTACAATTTGTTCAATAATAATTTAGGATAAATGTGTATGTTCACAATACTTTGTGTAACTTTCACTGGGGATGAACTGGAAACGAGGGAGGTTTTGCCTCATATCAAAATGGCCGCGAATGAAAAAGGAGCATTTGACAAGAATTTTCTTTTCACGATTTTCTTGCCTTTATCTTTCAAATTATATGCAACTAAATATTTGACAGGTATAAAATAGTTCGGAAGTTCCGGTTTTAAATACGATTACAACTTGGAAATCAAATCCAGTCATAGCTGAGATAACTACAAATCAATTCTCGCTTGGGAAACAAGGCAAATTTTTCAATAAGAGGAAATGTTGCTTGCGAAAAACTTTCCTCGTTTCCCGAGCGAGGGAATCGATTTTGAAATATCAAAGCAATGACTGCATTAATTTCTAAGGTGTAATTATCTGAAACCGTAACTCACAAACCAATTACTTGATTTAGGGTTGAACGTGATACTTGGCAAATCAATTAGTTTTGGATAAGCTTTAAAATGATATATGACACATACAATGAAGACACTGGTAAATGTCTGCCTAGGCGGGGGGGGGCATACTTTCGGGACACCCTGTATTGTTTTCAATGAAAGCTTATATTGCATCATTAATGAAGAATGAATTAGGATCTACACACATTGTGTCTAAAAGGGTTCCAAGCATAAAGCGAAGAATAAATAAATTGCCCCCTAAAATAGGGAAGAATAAATTCAAGATACCCACAATCAACCCCAATAGTTGTAATAAAAAATCTTATATTCAGGTGATTGTCGGATTTAGAAACCCCAAGTCTGTTTATACAAGTTGCTTCCACGCAATTGATGGCATATCGGACACAGGGATATTTTCTGAAAGGATTTCTAAAGAAGACTTCATGGCAGCCATTCTTACAGGGGACAGCAGAAATAGTAATGATTTGAAAGTTAAATAAAGAAGGATGCAAAATGCGCAAATGAAATGAAGGAAAGAGCATGTAGATTTAATTTTTTAAATATTTGAAAAATAAAATATGGCCGAGTAAAAAGTATAAATTGTCAAATCTTTGAGTAAGCCTTTTGATTAAAACAGAATTTGAAAAAAAACACAAATATATACAGCTGTTTAGGATATGTTTGATTAATTTTTTCATCTTTTCTAGTGCCCTGTTGCGGGTCGTGGTTTGACTTTCACAAGCAATGGTGGGAAAACAAAAATGAAAACATATATTTTCTCAACTATGAGAATCTAGTACAGGTCTGCAGATATATTTTTTATTAATATTAACAAACGCAGGTTATTATTTTTTTGAAAATGAATCTGGGTTGAAATGAAGCTTGCTCTAGCTTTACTATCTCAAAAGCAATCGTATTTCTTCCTACAGTATGTGCTATGTACAGAATATGTACGTATACTTAAAGTATGGTTTGCTTTCAACTCTTTTCTTTACATAGGATTGTCACAAAGTAGTGAAAGAAGTGGCCAACTTTCTCGGAAAAGCATTGACTGAGGAACAAGTTTCGGATATTACTGACCATGTTAAATTTGACAAGATCAAAGAGAACCCAGCTTTTGGAAAAGCATTTGAAAATTTAAAAGATGTAAAGACTGCACATATGAGAAAGGGTAAGTGGCAAAGTAGAGATTCAGGATCCCGTGTTGCGTATCAAAGGAATTTTACAAAAATCAGTCGTTTTGAGAATCCTAGAGTTTAGATTGCCTATGTTTCTAAACACTGGCTTAATTATTGAATACGAATTTTACTTTCCCATGGAATCCAATGTAAAAATAACGTTAACGTAATCTACGGCCAATGTGGAAATACTCATAGAGTTATTGATTTCTAATTTTCTATGAACATAATTAGTCTTATGAAATAATATTAACACCAGAGCTAAAGGAATAAAATATATATCACCAGAGAAATTATATTCAAGCAGATTTTGAAATTCACTGTTGAGAATCCATGAAGTTACATTTAAAGGGGTACATGTACATGCACTTGTTATTTTTAGGCAAGATAGACGATTGGAAGAATTTCTTTACAGTGGCCCAGAGTGAACAATTTGATGAATTGTACGCTCAGAAAATGAAAGACACGGACTTCCCCCAGCCGATTTATGAATAGTGTTCAAAGTATGGGACTATGGCAGTAATCTACAATACTAATATGAACTGTTAACAGTACGTAACAGAACTACTTCCTTCGACCTGTCTATGAATAATCAGCAACCAGAGAATGAGAGATAGAATGGGGTTCACCTTCACCATAAAACGTGTAAACAATTTATTTATAAATAGTGTGCTAAGTTCGATACAATGACAGTTATCCACAACACTAATATGAACTGCTTCCTTCAATCTCTCCTCGATAGTTCTGTAAATGATGTGCAGAATATGACTGTGTGATTCTAATCCTTCAACCTGTCTTTGAATCAACAGAAAACTCAGAATTCAAAAATATGTCTTTCCCTTTTCATAAAATAGATTCTCAAATGGAAAAGTATTGTCTACCTTTGGTTAATGAGCCTAAGGGAAGGCATCAAAAGTTCAATGTCTGATAGGAAACTAAATAAATCTAGTTTTGAGTTGGACCCCCCCTCCCCCTCAAAACTAAATACAATCAAAGTTGATCGCGGACTTTTCACATGTTTTAGCGACTCAATTTGGACTTTCATGGTGGCAGTACTATAACTTATTTGCATAATGTGCCAACAACAACAGGCATAATATTCCATGTTGCATGCATCTTGGTGAAGAAGGCATCTGGTAAAGTCTTTATTTTTAAACCATTCCAGGGCATTTCGAGTCGAAATTGCAAAAAAAATTCAATGTTGAAATTTGTCGGATAGCAAACTGAAATAGCTTTGACCCCCTCCCCCCAAACTAGATTTATTTAGCTTTCTATCAGACATTGATCTTTTGATGCCTCCCCTAACTGTAAAACGTTTCAACAGCATTATCAACATTAGAAAGATCTGTTCTGTTCAATTGTACTTCACCAGTCACTAAGCTGATAATAAAAAGGTTTACATAAATAAGTGATGGACAATTCCTTACCACTGTATAAGTTTCAACATTGATACAATAAGGCATTAACATGACAAAATGTGACCACATAGTGGAAGTTTTTGCAAATTGTTACCAACGAAAAACAACCACAGAACACCATTCACAAAAAGTTGTTAAGCATAACAATATGTCATCACTTCTAGTGGTGACATAGAATATTGAAAGTGCATCAGGTACCTAATCTACAGTTGCCATAGGAACCAAATATCAAACACAATAGTCATAAAGTTCGATCCTTCAAATATTTCTTGGTAGCCAATTTTCTTTATTTCAGGTTGACTCAAAATATATTTTTAAGATATAGGGTGACAAGTAAAATTTACTGACCGTCTAATTTATAAAAGTTTCTTTAACTTTCTAAACAAACATTGTTGCATCAATATAGTGTATGGGTAATAGGTCCTGATAGACATCCCTTCCCCGACTGATTATTGCGTTATCAGGCACCTGTAGCCGGGGGGGGGGGGGGGGGGGGTGGATCCCTCCCCCCTAACTAGAAATTATTTCAAAATCATGCATTTTTTTACCATTCTGAGCACTTTCCGCATGATTTTTTTGCCAAAAACGGTCAAAAAGCTCCCCCTCGGCAAAAGCTTCCCCTTGGTAAAACTGATCCCCCCAGGTAAATCCTTATTGTAAGGGTGAGAGTCAGCTCGTTTCTATAAAACAGAAACATAACATACAAGTTAATCTGTCAAAATCAACTCTCAATTGAGAATCCAAATCCAAATGACCAAACTATGTAATGATTTCAAATTCAAATACGTCTTTATTTACGTTCATATTCAAATGAGTGAGGTACATATAAAGTACAATGTTTCATATTACACGAATAACATATTGAATTTATATGACAGTATGAAAGACAAGCGGCCTAACTAATAACAGTGCACTAATAACATTACTGTAATTATAAAGTGAAGATTCACATTTTCATAGTATAATGATTTTAATGATGAAACGGTGCTTTAAAATAAGAGTTATATATGATGAAACTAAAAGAGTAAATATGAGGAAATAGAGAGATTTCGCACATAAGTGAAAGTACAACTTATACGTATACGTATAGTTTAAAGGGTCGTGTCGAACTATTATATTTACTAAAATCAATTTTAAATTGTACTTAATGGAACATAACTATTCCCGTTATAGAAAAGCTCCATCAACTAGAGACTGTCATCTGCACGTGTAGATTATGCACATTATAATTAAATGCTTGCTTCCATGTCCTTTTAGTTGTAGTGTATTATAAACACGATCCTCTAAAGTGAGTCATGATTCTTTAAAGTGAGTCATTGCATAAACAAGTTGATTATTTCAATGTTTTCATGATCAGTATAAGTTCAATGAACTTACAAAACGGTATATTTACGTAGATGATAACGTATACAGTTGGATCTCCGTATAAAGATTTGCCTACATGTGTGTGGAACAATTGACCGCAAGCATTTTTAAAAATTAATTTGGAACAATATCCAATCAAATACTTTAACCATCAATTTGAAACACCAATCAAACCAGTAGGTTCTAGCAATTCCTGTAAACGACCCATTCAGTAGCTCAACAAATGACATACAGGGTGTTTCATAACGAGCATCTCCAAAAAGTCAATTTGAGAAGAGATGGGTCTATAACATATGTATAATATATGAGCCTATTTTTCTAGACAAACACATTTGGATCAACTAAACATGCTAGTATTCAAGAAAGTACAAATGGCATCTTTTTGACCTGTATTTATTACAGTCCGAGTAGATCTTTCCTGACGAAAAGCCCACATTATGAAACACCTTGTACGTTTACCTATAAATATAAGTATACGTTATAAGTTGTACTTTCACAAGGTGCGAAATCTCTCTACTGTCAGTGTTTGATGTCTTATAAATACACTTGTTTTAAAATTACAAAATAAACGCATGCGAAAACATATAAACGTTTAAAATTACTTTCTGATTGCATGTAACAACAGACTCTAGTATTAATCCCAATAGTCAAACTGAACTAGCAATAGATTCTACAATAATAATATATCAATAGATCCTATAATAACAATACATTTGCATATATGGACTTAATAATCTAAAATGTAAAAGCTGGGCCAAGGCAGGATTTTCTGACAACATAGTCTAAAACCCAGGGTCTAATAAGAGGCTAAATAATGGAACTATAATATTGCAAATATATGCCTTACTATCAAAATTCAAGTTGCACCTCAATAAGTTGATAAAAAACGATTATGAGGACTTCAAAGACTTAAAAAGTGAAAGATAATAAACATTACAAAAATATAAAAATAGGAATACTGCATTCCATATTTCATAATTTCCATAATTTAGTACTACAGTGATAGCTGGATAGATAAAGAAATGACTATCCTGACCCCTAGATATATTCTACATTCCTCCACAATTATGTAGAAAGAAATAGAAGGTTTTGGATACAAAATGTAATAGTTGGGATCTTTTCTCTGTGTACTGTAGTCTCCATGTTTCAGAAAATAAATATTATACTAAAATGTTTTTTCCTCACAGCTTGGTATTTGAATTTGCCATATAATCAACATCCCCATTGCTTAAGTTCATAACAGGGTGGTCATTCCCATCGGAAAGAGCACTTTTAACATCAAGTATTAACTCATCACTGTTTGTTTTACTGTCATCATTGCCGTTTCCAAGTTCATTTTCAAACATTTTGGCAGTGGCTTCACCTGCAATCAACTGTCGTAGAACAAGCTTTTTGTAAATGCCACCTTTCTGAAGTAGGTCACTATGGGTTCCTTGTTCAGCTATTTTGCCCTGGTCTATCACAATAACCTGGAATTGCAAGAAATTGAGATTTCTTGAAAAGCTACATACTTGTACAGTAAAACCTGTTTGATGGCACAGTCTACTGGCTGAGTCCCATATATGATCTTACCTGAGACGCACTGTGCACAGTAGACAGTCTATGAGCTATTCTGACAACAGTTCTATTCATCATGGCACGGTCTACTGGCTGAGTCACATATATGATCTTACCTGAGACGCACTGTGCACAGTAGACAGTCTATGAGCTATTATGACAACAGTTCAATTCATCATGGCACAATCTACTAGATGAGTCACATATATGATCTTACCTGAGACGCACTGCGTACAGTAGACAGTCTATGAGCTATTATGACAACAGTTCTATTCATCATGGCACGGTCTACTGGCTGAGTCACATATATGATCTTACCTGAGATGCTCTGCGTACAGTAGACAGTTTATGAGCTATTTTGACAACAGTTCTATTTATCATGGCACGATCTACTAGATGAGTGACACATATGATCTTACCTGAGACGCACTGTATACAGTAGACAGTCTATGAGCTATTATGAAAACAGTTCTATTCATCATGGCACAATCTACTAGATGAGTCACATATATGATCTTACCTGAGACGCACTGCGTACAGTAGACAGTCTATGAGCTATTATGACAACAGTTCTATTCATCATGGCACGGTCTACTGGCTGAGTCACATATATGATCTTACCTGAGATGCTCTGCGTACAGTAGACAGTCTATGAGCTATTATGACAACAGTTCTATTCATCATGGCACGGTCTACTGGCTGAGTCCCATATATGATCTTACCTGAGATGCTCTGCGTACAGTAGACACTCTATGAGCTATTATAACAACAGTTCTATTCATCATGGCACGGTCTACTGGCTGAGTCCCATATATGATCTTACCTGAGATGCTCTGCGTACAGTAGACAGTCTATGAGCTATTATAACAACAGTTCTATTCATTATGGCACGGTCTACTAGATGAGTCACGTATATGATCTTACCTGAGACGCACTGCGAACAGTAGACAGTCTATGAGCTATTATGACAACAGTTCTATTCATCATGGCACGGTCTATTGCTTCCTGTACTAAATGTTCACTTTCTGCATCGAGAGCACTTGTTGCCTGTAAAAGATATAAAGCAGCTGAAAGTAGTCTTCTAAATATACAGTGAAACCTTTTAAGTGTAACTCTTCTAGCAGTGGAACAATTTTCAGAGTCCCAAGTTCATCTGACTTAATGTTAAACTAATCTCTATAAGTGGAACTCCGAGTGGAACCTCCAAGTGGAACACTTTTTAGAGGTACCAAAAGTGTTCCACTTAAACATGTTTTACTGTATAGTACATAAAAATAACAGACAATGATCTTGTTTATCTCTTTAATTAAATGCATGCATATTCATTTATTGTGATAATGGCCATTAATAGAAAAATATTTGTCAAAGCATTTAAAGATGGCAGCACTTGAATTCTACTCTATTTAAGAGTGCTCTATTTAAGTCAACTTACTCTAGTCAATACTCGATTACAATTAGATATACATTTAATGGTGTCTCCTAAGCCGATGCCGGCTGGTGGGTTTTTAAAAAAAAGTATTTATTATATGATATTGAATGTAGTTTTTAAACCTGTGACACAGTAATAAAATATTTTAAACTTAAACTATTAAAGTTATAATAACAAGTGATGTGAATTCTGCACCCTATTGGACAACACTGATCTAATTCCTCTTACCTCATCTAATAACAAAACAGCTGGGTCCATGATTAAAGACCTTGCTATGGCAACTCTTTGTTTCTGACCCCCTGACAGTCTCACCCCCCTCTCCCCCACCAATGTGTCATAACCCTCCTCAAATGTCATGATGAAGTCATGAGCGTTTGATTGTTTAGCAGCTTCAATTACCTGCAAGTAAATACAACAAATAAACAAAAAATAAATAAATAAAGCTGAAAACTGAATTCAAACCGTTAAAACGCAGATCATATATAATATATGTGATTATTATTTCCATGCCATGATACTCGTTCTCTCATTGGTCAATTAGATACCATGCGACTAAAAATATATAGAGATATCCCATGTCTCCCTGTTTAGAAAAACTTGTGAAAGGTGTATTCACCGGCAGTGACATCATTTTTAGTGAATACCACTATATATTCAATTAAAATGACATCACATCACTTACTTCCCGGGAATTTAGTAAAAAGTATTTTCATCCGATATGATAGATGGTAAAGTTTTATCAGGAAGTCCTCCCAAGAAAAAGGTTCACAACTGTATATCAAACACGGGATAAAGATTTTACAAATGTAAAAAAAGACAACTAATCAAAGCACGAAGACTTTGGACTTTAACATAGAAGTTCCGAATCTAATTTTTATCCATGGTGTGACTGAGATCATGAATTATAACACAATATTGGCAAACGTTTGGAAATACATTGAAACTAAGCGTCATACAGAATTCAATATTTGTATCATATTACTTAGAACACTATAGTTGTAATGTTAATATTCAATCATTTCTCCACATTAAAAGTATAAATCATTTATTATTGTTCTTGAAAAAATTATCATATTCAAATAACTAAGAATTTGAGATACATTCTAGAGTGATAAAATTGCAAGTAACAATTTTAATTTTATTTTACTTTTCAAATATAACACCTCAAAAAGATCCATGAAAAGTTGTCAAAATAAAGGAGGTATTGCAGATTTACATACTTTTCCAACAACAAACCTATAATGGTATGTCATCAGTTTTCAATAGCAGCTAGGCCAAACTTCTGGATATTAACCTTTATTACATGTAATAATATGATGACAAAAATGTTGACATTTTCATTTTTTGAGAATGTATGAACTTCTGGAATTGGAGAAAATATTGTTATTTCAAATGATATTTTAAAATACTGGGCTGATGTGTTTTAACACAATTTCTTAAATGCTCTCACTTTTTCACATTTCAGCACACCACTTCTTCATATTTTATAAGATTCTTCAAATATATCCAATTCTTCACATTTCCAAAACAAATTTCACATATCCATGCCTTTTTCTTCACTCATTTTTAAGTGTTTTTTTTACCCTTTTGCATTTACTTTGATTCAACTTACTTCCTCTAAAGTAGCCTCTTTGCCATATGCAATGTTGTCTTTGATAGAGCAAGCAAATAGAACAGGTTCTTGTTGAACCATTGAGATTCGCTTCCTAAACCACACAGGGTCTAAGGTCTTCAAGTCCATGCCACCTGGAAAAATACCAGGTACATGTTGAGTATCATTGGACAAGTTGAAATAAGTGGGTACATGCTGATTATTACAGCACATGTTGAGTCACCATGACTATCTCAGCACATGTTGAGTCACCATGACTATCTCAGCACATGTTGAGTCACCATGACTATCTCAGCACATGTTGAGTCACCATGACTATCTCAGCACATGTTGACTCACCATATCTCAGCACATATGTTGGGTCACCATGACTACCTCAGCACATGTTGAGTGACCAAGACTATCTAAGCACATGTTGAGGTAACAGGATACATGTTAAGTATCATATCATATTGTCAATACGAATAAGATAATGGGGCACATGTTGCATATCATTTAAAATGCTGATTCATAACAGAGTACAGCTTGAATATGTTTGGGATATTTGGGGTTTTCCTTATTTTAGGTTTCATTTATTTGACATTTTGTTAATATTTTCGACACAAGAAACAAGAAAATAATTCTTTGCCGTGGAATAAGACATTGAAAATAGCACTTCCTTTTAATTAACATATATTTATTACCAAGATATTTTCAAGTCTTTTTAATCCATTTGAAATAATGGTGGTCAAAATGACTATGACTTTTACTCAAAATGTTTTTTGCTAAATTGTTCATAAGATTTCCTGTGCCACTGATACACCCATCAGCTCAGGACAACAATATTGTACTTTAAGTGCACTTTAAATCTTACCTAATTGGATGGTTCCACTATTTGGGTCATAGAATCGTTCAATCAGGTTAACAATGGTGGACTTTCCTCCACCAGAGGGCCCCACTAGAGCAACCATCTTCCCCTTGGATACATTAAATGACACACCCTGAAATTAAAAATGAATGGTTTTTAATATCACAGTGCTTTTCAATTTATTCATATCACAAAATACATACAATAGTACATAAGGAAATGGGTGACACAAAGATATCCCACAGATGGAGTGAGTGAAATACATGTATGTTACATTATGCAGTTTTGGGGATCTGCCGTTGCATGTCCTCAACAAAAAGAAATACAATATGTGCCATCAAGTTGACCCAGGAAAGAATTATTGAAGTTGTAATAGGTATTTTTCTTTTTCATAAAAATGAGATTATTGATGGATTTAGAATTTGTTAGTTAGAATCTAGTCAAAGAAATATTTTCATTTGTTCATTTTGATTCATTTTCATTTTGATCTAGGTTGGGAGTTCATTTGCAACTACAGCAACACCTGTCTCATCTGAACGACACTGAGACCAAGCAAACATGTTTGGATTAGCAGGGGTTCACATGTTTGGATTGGGTTCACATTTTGAGGTTTATTAACAATGATAATCTATGGCATATTAAAATGGGACTGAAAAATGTGTTCACATTGAGAGGTGTTCAGATATACAGGTTTTATACTTTTCATGTATTGCATTATAAAAATGGTTGAGATCTTATTCTGCATATAATGTATAAACAGGAAGGTAACATAATTGCTGTTCAGTTGGACATAAGATCAGAAAATTCTGGCGAAAGAAAGAAGCTCGCTTACCTTTAACACTTCTGTCTCTGGCCTAGATGGGTAAGTGAATCTGACATCATTAAATTGAAGATCTAAAAATAAATAGATTTGGCACTAACTTGAAAGACAATTGTAAAATTTGACAATTACAAAAATTATTCAATGAATGGAGCTTTCAACATTTCGGTTCATTAGTGTAAAAAACTACACAGTATTACCTTTGTACCTTTAAAAATATTTCATGTCTTGTCACTGACTTCACTTTATTTTAGAGCGCATTTTCTCTATTTCAACATACTGTAAAATAATGCCTTTAGTCGATCCATGCATTAAAGACCATGATACAATTACTCTTTTATTGTGACACCATTTATAATATTACAAAATACTTATTATATACAGTAGTCACTCTACCTCCCTGCAGGCAGTCATACACGCTTCCTCCCTCTGTTGGAATATCAGGGAGTCTGTCCAGTAATTGGAATATCCTTACCGAGGCCCCAACTGCTTGCATGAAATCCCCATACAAAGCTGACATGAGACCAAACCCTATAGCAACTTGTAGTGTATAAAGCAGGAATGCTGTAAAATAAGTACTTCTCATTAATAATATGGCACACAACATTAGGCAAAAGGTCCAATAAGTTTAGAAGGAAATGACCAGGCTTTTTAATCTTAAATAGCATCTTACTGTAAAATGTCAAATTGAAAGAAAAAACCCTTTAATTCTATAAAAGGCAAGCATGAGAATTTGAGGTTGCTAAATTAGTGAAACAAATGATTAATTATTAGGTCCTAACTTGCTTTTTGTGACTTATCCATAAGTGCTTCACAAAAGTGTTATGAATGAAAACACCTTCATGTATAATTGATAACATATACCAAAAAATCTATGAAAATATAAATAAGTAAACCCTAATTTTGAAGTGAGGGCTGGATCAACATGAGACTTACCAGTGAGAATACCGGCAGTAAGTTCCTTTTCAAAAACTAGTTTTCCACCATACCACAGTACTAGACATATAGCTCCAGAAGACAGGCACCCTATTACACCCTCAAATACACCTACAAACAATAAATTCAAAATTTATTCAATTACAGGGGCCTATAGCTTTTAAATTAGCGTGACAAAATTAAAACAAAGAAAGTATATTACTATCTGCTCACCCTATGTTTTTCATAAAGAGTTTACATCCACAAAGATTTAGCCATAGCTCAACAGGACAAAATTTTTCAATAAAATAACCAAAAACTGTTTTGAGCTAGAACACCCAATTTAAAATACAAAATATATGCTATTATACCACATGTATTTTCTAACCTGTGGCCAAAGCAAGTTTCTTTCCAACTTGATAGCTTTTATCAACATCCACATCATAATGATCTACAACTTTAGTCTCCCCAGCAAACGTCCTAACAGTCCTAAGACTAGAGATTGCCTCCTCTGCAGTTGTACTTGCATCTGCTAAGCGGTCTTGAAACTGTTGTCGCATTTTCTTTAGAAACTTTCCTATATGTAAATAATTTGTTATTTATGACATAGTTCATTGTCAAAAGAAACAAGATTGAAATTGCAACACTCTTGAAAATGTTAGCATATGCTCTCAGATATGCTGTACTAAAAAAACATGACATAGAAGTACTAAAAACTATGCATATATAGTTTTCTCTAATGATAAAAATAGGAAAGTTACCATATTGCACGGCACCAAGAGACACCACTGGCACAACAGACAATAGGACACCTGTCAGCTTAGCATTCAAGATAAACATGAAGACAAGGGAGCCAATGATCTGCAGAATGTACCTTACTAACATTGACATATTCACCTGAAACACATTAAAACATTTACCATCTATTAATAGACTAATAATAATAGAGTGCAAGGGTAACTTTTATTGAACAAGTAAGTTCAAAATGTTCATTAAGTTGACAAAGTCTCATTACTGTAGTAAGTGTATGGCCAATTTAGTGGCCATTTAAATATTTAAATAAAGTGCTCTAAATGGGTAATATGATCAACACAATTCCATCATTGTAGCTAGGCATAAGGCAAGTGAGGCAATATTACATAGTTATATTTTCAGAGGTTTGTCTAACTAAAAGTGTGGAAATGAAGTCCAAACTTGTCTCATCTTGTAGTTTTTGCCTTGCCTTATTTTTGATCCTAGCAACATCCCACGGACCTCTTTTTTACAAACTGATGGGTTACTATACGAAAAAAAATTATAAACCACATTTTGTTTGATCATATGACCATAGGCTAAGATTGATAGAAATAATCTTTTAATAAAGATGGCGCGGTTGTCTAATCAATCTGTATTTATTTATAACATTGGATTCTGGTGCTGCCATCTTTATATCTGCCCAAAAGCTATGCATATGACATACACAAAAATGACACATTTCTGCACCATCCGACACAAAACAGTTTTCAAATGTAACTACCTTTGTAACAAGTGCAGTGCTACAGACACAATTACTATTTCTCAGACAAATCAAATTTGTTTATTTATTTATTTCACAAAACACATACAATATACATATACAATGAGTGGGTGACACAAGGGTTTGTGTATATTCCCAAGAATGCAACAGGTTTGAGAATTTCTGCTAGTGTTAAATTCCAATTGATCCAAAGGTGATTTATGGTGCACTAGGTGATTCATTTAAATACAGAACTCAATAATAGCACATTGAAAAGAAGCGATAAAGAGGGCAATGTTTATTTGATGATTTATTTGATCCATGGTACACCCACTGACTAATACCTATTTTTTCTCAAAAACATTCTTGCCTACAAGGAGACTAGCACAACACATTTTTTCCCTACACATAACATCTTTTCCCCCAAATCATACAAAAATACAAAAATTGCAAGATATATACCCAAATATTGACCACATAGCTAATACCATGTATGTTGTCTACACAATAACTGATAACTTAAGAATTGAAATAAACAAGCAGCTCTCCTTATCATAGGATGGTCCTGTTTATATATAGATGGTGCCTATGATGATTCAACTTCATGGGACATGTGACAGATTGATGATTATAGTTAAGATTCATGACTTTGTTGTCAAATTAAGATAAGGTTTCCAAAATTCAAGAACCTTCTAAAACATTGAACTTTTCTAAAACATTGAAATCATTATTTAGTCACATTTATAACATTAAAAGAAATAAAAGACTTGTTGAATGGGTGTTAGTTTTAGCTTTGAAAGCCTAGTGCGCTGATGAGTACCATAAATTTTTTCCTTCCCTTTTGGCATTTTGCTGAATTCAATTTCTAATTTGTAAAGGATGTGTATCGATATGGTAAACTTTTTGAACACACGTTTCTCTTTTGAATGGCAACAATATAGTTTGAAAAAAATACATATACTTTTCTCTATATTGTTTTAGAAAACACATCAGACACTTATTTTGTTTTTGATATCATTGTTCGGAATGAAATGAAACATCTCTCCGAAGCTCATTGGAACAAAACGACATAAACACAACATATATTGTAATTGTACAAAGGAAAGTTTGGCTGATTTTAAAAAAGTTAATGAAATAAAAGGTTTATCTTAATTTCAATCTATTTTTGGGGGTTCTGTTTTAATTTTTTGGATAGTTTTTGTAAAATCAACCAAAATTTCCTTTGTTTTACTAGAATATACGCTACAATATACGCTTTGCGTCAGATTGTATATGAATACTATATGTAACATGTTAAAAATTGGAATAAACTTAAACTTAAAACTTAAACTTAATATTGAGAGGTCTTGACTGTTGACTGCCAAACACCAACTGCCAAACTCCAAACAGTACCATCCACAAAAAAGTTGGGGACCATAACAATGGTGACATAATAAAATAATGTTTCCTTGGTGACTTATACATAATTATAATTCACAGGGCTTGTTTTTATACATCATACATGTGCGGTCAAACAACAGTAAACATTAGTTTGTACTATCAACATTTCTGCCTTGATTTGAGAAACTTTTATTCAGTCCAAAGGTTTGGATGTAAATCATCTAAATTGAACATTCAAACAAGAGCATGGTATTAAGCAAATAGAAACTAGATAAATAATCTAAGAGACATGAATAAAGCATCCAGTAAGATACCCTTCTCAAGATCTAGACTTGTCTGCACTCTTAAGCTGAGTGATTTGTAAAACATGCAGTCGCAAAACATTATGATAACCACACATTTTTATACATTTACAGCTTTCATACTCCTAAGAATTGACAAGAACATTTTGTTACTCTCATAAAGCTTACCATGTTTATGATATATTAGATCAGCTCAGACAAATGTACATGTACAGAGAGATGAAGGCTTGTACTATATCCCCCGAAATTAATTTGATAATTATAGTTAGAGGGGAAATTGAGATTCAGAGTATCCCTTATACAACACCGGCTATCTTTACTGATTGTGATATAAAGGTATTACTAATGATAAAGAGAAAGTATTAGTCACTAAGAAATCATTTGTTGTTCAAGGCTGACCCGAACACAGTGGATAATAAAGAATTATATCCAAAGACAAAGCTGCAAATATTACCAACTGCTGAGAAAAGGAGGAGGAAAACACCAGACATGAAGTTACCAACAGTGCTACTGCTGTGCTGTTTCATGTTTGTAGCATCAACAAATGCGTTGGAATATACTATAGTAGGAGTTCTAAATTTATTTTCTTCACTTCCATCTCCACTTTTCATTGGAGAATCTCTTAAAAATGAAACAATATTGAGGCAAATGACACCAAAATGCCGGCAAGATGTTGATATTTATAATGGGATCTTAGCAACTGGAACTGCTGGTTTCTTTGTGCCCATTTTAACAAGTAAGATTCATTATTTTATATATATTCCTCTTAATATGCTCAGTATTTACATGTATGATGAAACATACTAGTACAGTCGAACCTGCTAATAGACTATAAGTGAAACACCTCTGTAAGAGAAACACCTCCCAAGTGGAACACCTATTTGTGGTCCCAAGGGTGTTCCTTTTACACGCGTTCTACTGTAGTTTGTTCTTGAACAATAAATTCTATTTCAATGAAAAACATTTTGCTATTTTTTCAGTAATTTAAAATTGTAACTTATTAAACAAAAGTAACATCCTGTCTATATATTAAAGTGCAAGGCATGTGCACAAAAGTAACATACTGTCTATTTGTTGAAGTACAAGGCATGTGCACAAATGTAACATCCTGTTTACGTTAAGGCATGTGCACAAATTTAACATCCTGTTTACATTTAGGCATGTGCAAAAATGTAACATCCTGTGTTAACTTTTAGGAATATGCACAAGAGTAACATCCTGTTTACGTTAAGGCATGTGCACAAAATAACATCCTGTTTACATTTAGGCATATGCACAAATGTAACATCCTGTTAACTTTTAGGAATGTGCACAAGAGTAACATCCTGTTTACATTTAGGCATGTGCACAAATGTAACATCCTGTCTACGTTAAGGTATGTGCACAAAGTAACATCCTGTTTACATTTAGGAATGTGCACAAGAGTGACATCCTGTTTACATTCAGGCATGTGCACAAAAGTAACATCCTATTTACATTTAGGCATGTGCAAAATGTAACATCCTGTTAACTTTTAGGAATGTGTACAAGAGTAACACGTTGAAGTGCATGGCATGTGCCCAACCTTTAATAACCAAAATTGTTGGTCTCAAAGCCCCAGAGGAACAATATTATTCTGAATTTAAACTAAGTACAGCCAGATCTGTAGTCACTACATGTAAAAGGACATGATTTAAAATAATGTTTGGTTATTTTAATGTTCCAAGTGCTCGACTCAGATGGAAAGGCGAAGCCTGGAAGCTTTGGTGGAGCTGTTAACTGGATAGGAGCATATGATCAGTGTAATGGGATAGAGGTACACAATTTATGATATAATATCATTGTAATGCTACACATGAAATGTTATATGTATTTGAATACTGAGATCCTTATCATAAATGTAACACTTTTTTCACAAAAATCAAACTTGAAATGTGAAGTTTTTTGATTATATTCCCATTGGCATGATCATACTCTTATATTGTATTTATCTGATTCAAAACAGAACATTTTTTGAGGTGACTTAAATGTTAACATTTTCTCAGAGAACTCAATTGTATATTTGGAATTTTCAAACCAAATATTTCAAGTTTCAAAATGGTGAAATATTGCACTATATATCAGTATGTCAGGCTGATGCCCTGGCATGTCAAATACATTCTGATACTCATAGCATCTTTCTGTTTCACCTGAAACATCTCAGGGCGAGAAGAAATGAGATGTCATGGTTTATCATGATGTGTCAAATATGATTCATGGATGGATTCATTCAATTGCCACACCCAAGCAACTTTTCAACCTCAACATATTTTGTTTTGAGCCACATGCTTTGCTCAAGGAGGGGTATAATTGATATTCGAACATGACTGTATTCACGCCTTCTATAAACTGTAAACAAAGTCAATGCTTCAGCTGGGTTATATTCGAGATCAATAACCCAGTTAATACGTGTAATTTGTGACGTCATAACAGTGGGTCGTAGTAATGGCGGACCATGATGAATATTCGAAACAATTTGGTGAGTTTTCATGTTCGAATCATAATATAGTCCTCAGAGCAGGGTTACTAGTTTCGAATAACACCCCGCTGGTCTCGGCACAAAAGCTTTCGAACCCCTCACTCCCTTTGGTCGTTGTGCCGAGACCAGCGGGGTGTTATTCAAAACTAGAAACCCTGCTCTTTGGTCTTTATTTCTTAATCAAAAAACATTCTTAACTGAATTTAACTTTATCAAGCTCTGCTGTTTCTTTTGAACTCTACATAGTGCAACATTTATAAGCATTATTTTGTTTGTTTTTCTTGCTTTAAGATGTTTGCTTAAATTAATATAGATACTTGGAAACAATCTTTTCTCATAGTATTCCAATGTTTCTCTGACATTCTTTTGTCAGAATGAAAAATTCCAAATCTCCAAATATTAAGCAGAATTATTAAAATGTTCGATAATACTGAAATTAAATTAGATATGTCGGACATTTTAAAACATAGGTATGACATGGAATGTTGACAGTAAAAAATGAGATAATTTTTATGCTCAACTTGTTTCATCCATTTAATTACACAAACATATAAATTGTTATTACAGATGGATGCAGACATCCCCATAGGACAGGATACAGTCAGGCTCAAGTTCAAGGGACAGTACATGTCAATCAGAATATGGGCGATTGATCCAGGAAGGAACAATGCATATGTTAGTATATTAAGGCGGTTTTGCATGTTGAGAATAATTATGTAATTTAAGGATTTTTAATTATACCTGTAGATAATTCATAAAATTGATATTTTTTCAATCATTTTATGTGAATGATTACATGTTATGGTGGTAGAATAAATTCTTCTCAGTCAAAATAATACAATCAGAATCTTCTCAGTCCAAATATTACAATCAGAATGTTGGTTGGACATTTCCCTGGACATTTCTTGAACTCTTAGGTCAATGTGTGGAAAATACCTTAAGATTCAACATTTGTAATTTCTGCAAGAGTATACAGACCTTTGAGTGTTTTTACCAAAATCTTGAGTCTACGAAAAAGTGAGAGTATCCTGATTTTCCATTGTTTTATTCAGACACCATTTGACATTGGAGCATGCGTCCCTGACAGTTGTAGTGAAGATGACATAAGGAGATACATGACATATGGGGAAAAGTCTGTGGTTCCAATAGAGGTTTACAATGGCAAACAATGGAATAATATATGGGCAGATAGTGGCGCTATAGCTATGATGTAAGTATATGTATAGAAATGGCGCAATAGAATAGAAAATATTCTCTCAATAAATTTTAATCAACAGTACATGTTAAACACCATGAAATTATTATTTTTTTGTAGATGTATCATACTGATTTTTGTCCTGATTGCGCTTATTGCAACAGTATTTGATATGGCATACGTGCAAAGAATGATCGAAGCCTCCAAGACACAGGAAACTATTCACAAATCTATGAGGGTCGCCTCAACTCATGCAAAAATAAATAAAGCTTTCGAGGCTCCAGAAGAAAAGGCTAACTATTACAGCGATAAAGGTGAGGTGTCAAATGGTGATGCTAAGGGCAGAGACATGGATAAAAAGAACTTAGCTGATCAAGTTTACACAACATTAGAGATGACTCATATTGGAAGTAATGGTGTTTCAAAACCTGAACCACTTCCCAGTAAACCACCAAAATATGAGCCTAGTAAGTATTTTCCATTTTTTAGGTGCATGTAGTTTATAACTTATAATGCTGTCATGGCTTTTTATAATAGGATTGATGAGGTACATGTATCAACATCAGTTAAACAAAATCATTTCTTATTAAAACTGTTAAGATTATTTTCATTTTTCACCATTTCATCGTATTGGACAGCTTAGACAATATCTATCTGAATGATATGACCACCTACATTTATAATATGTTTATTTCAGGTATTGGAACCAGACTTCTTGTATCATTTTCTGTCTACACCAACATGAGTAGACTACTTTCGTTTGATGCCCCACCTGGCGCCTATCTCTGTCTCAATGCTATTAGGTTTTTAAGCATGTGTTGGATCATACTTGGGCACACCTTTCAACTTGGCATCACCATTACACCAGTTACAAACCCTACTTGTAAGTATGCAGTAGGCCTCCTATTTACAATGTACAACAACAGCCTTATGATCATTAATATCCTAGGCTGCAGTCTCATGGTCTGTCTAAGTTTACAATTAGCCTAATTATCATTAATATCACAGGCTACAATCTTGTGGTCTGTCTAGTTAACAACAGGCTGTCATCTTCGAAAATAAAGAGTATACTCATGATTTGTCAAAGCTCTTATCCAACAAGACGCAGGGGTTTGATTTCAATATGATCGAAACTTAACATTCCAAGAAAACCATTGTCTACTTTTTGACAAACAATGACTTGTGATGGTTCCAAAATAGCCCCCGGGGAAATATTTGAATATAAGCTTACATGTACGATACAGTTCCAATATTCTCAGTCTCACATAAGATGATCTCTGTGTACCTTTCAGTGAATCCTACAGATTGGTTTGCAAACAAGTATACCTCACTTTTTGAGTATAAAGCTCTGACACATATGCAACTGGCTGTAGATAGTTTTTTCTTACTGAGGTAGGTTCATTTCTCAAATTCAGGCAATTACCATCTTAATGATACAACTGTCAAAAGGTAACACACTTAACCTGTATACACAGCCATTCTTCAACAGTACCGTACGGTACCGTTTTGGTTATAGTACTGCATGTTATCATGAAATATGGTACCATATAATACTGTAGACTAGAACAGTACCATACAGTACCATGAACAGTGTACAGCACCATACTCAAATGGTAGCATACGTTAACAAACTTACCGTACTCTTAATGTACCGTACAGTACAGTGATTTTAGAGTGCAGATCGGGGGTGTATCCAAACACATAAATCCTCTATAATCTAATTTCAGTGGATGCCTGATCGCAATATCATTTTTGAAAGCAATGGCCAGGCAAGGAGGAACTGTTACCTGCAGACAAATGGCACTTTACTACTTCCATAGATATTGGAGGTAAGCTTTAGTAAATTTAGATGTGCATACCAAACAACCTCTTATGCTACAACTGGATATTCCTTCTTTATAGGAGCATGCCAAGGGAATTCATACTTCTAATCCAAGCCAGGGGACTTTAAGAATAAAAACAGAAGAGTAAAACCAGGAGATTTGAAAACAATAAGAACAAGTCACTAATACGCAAAATGTCACCACCTGCCATTTGTTACAGACATTGAACACTGACCATCGAACGCCAAACACTCTCCCAAAAAAAGTTGGACACTATAACAATATGTTACCACTTGTGGTGGTGACATTGGTCACATAATAAAAAAACCATTTTGTAAATAAACATTATCTAGATATAAATGACATAATTTATACTGGCTCTTTCAGATTAACACCCGTGTATATGATTCTGGTTGGATTTATGGCTACCCTATACATGTACACTGGTTCAGGTCCTTTGTGGCCAAGAGAGTTTCCAGATGCTGTGAATTGCAAGAAATCTTGGTGGTGGCATCTACTTTATATCAACAATTTCTACAACTATGGAACACAATCGGTAACTTCTTATATCTACATTTCATGATGGAACATAAAAGCTGAAATGTCTAAAGATAGAAAGTATTTCTACCCATCTATATCTCGTAAAAGAGTAAAATAAACAAAAATTATTTATATACTCTTCTCTGTGATGTCAAGGTTGGTACCATGTTCTTAAAAGTTCTCAAGAAAGAAACCATGTTCCAATATATTATGAAACACTGAATAAATATCTGGTGTATCATATGTTTCAGTGTATGGGATGGAGTTGGTACCTGGCCAATGATATGCAGTTTTACATCATATCTCCTGTGATATTCATATTCCTCTACAAGTAAGGAAAACACACACATGTATAGGGTGTCCAGAAAGTAATGTTGTGAGCCATGGGAGGGCTCTGATTTATTATTACCGAAAGCATCATACTCCTAGACAGGTTGTACCTTTATTTGAGAGGAGATTTTCTAGTAGACACTGATTTATTCAACCTTACATATTTAGTATTTACTCACTTTTTATTTCATGGTTTTAAAAGCATTATCAAAGTACTATATTGCTTTATATTTTTATTGGCTCTGCAACCCATGAACTGAAACATTGGTAGGTTGTAAACAATCACTTTTATCTTTTAAATTAACACTTACAACATTGATGTTAATACTTTCATTGTCTAGGGTACCTGTTGTTGGATTTATCATATCTGGAATTCTGTTTGTTGGGAATATCGTGAGCATTGTTACACTACATCTTGTAGGTAAGTAAGCATATACTGTTTCCATATGGTCCATTGATTGCTTAACTTTTAGATTCAAAGTACTCAAATTATGAATCTGACTATAGTTAAATACAAAAGGTATTTTAACAAGGTCTTCAAACAAAATACATTATTCAAGATCCCCTCGATATAATATCTAAGGTGTAAGAGCTTACATTAAAGTTCATACTTTTGAAATGAATAAGATTTTGTAACTTTCTAACTTTCTATGCGAGTAGAAATAATCTTGATTAACATCATTATCTATTCAAAATTCAGTCAAAGTGATATCATATTTGAAATCTTAAAGTTAAACTGTGGTTTCAAAAATTGTTAATAAACTTTATTCTAACTTAAAATTTTATTTTATTTGAAAATGTGACTTCTAGTTTGGGGGAGATTCCCCATAGACGCCATGTTATAAAATTTCAAAAAGTGAAATATCTTTTCTTGTATTGGACAGATGATATTTTCTTTTACTGGAGATATTTTAATTTGCATAACTATAAGATAAATAAGGGTGATATGAAAATTGAACCATTAAAACAGATGTAATTCAAGTTAAAGGGAACTTTCTGCTATACCTGCAATTCTATCTGACCCGAATGAGCCACCTGGTGGTGGAACTGGTAACTACTTACTCACATCTAAGTTATTGACCTGTTTATCAGTTGAATGGCAATAAATCTTGTGTAATGTTTTTCCAGGCCAGGCTAGTTTTGAAATGGATTACATCAAGCCATACTCAAGAATTGGAGCATATATTGTAGGGGTGTGGCTGGGTTACATTCTATGGAAAAACAAAGGCAAAGCAGTGCTATCTTGGGTATCTTTATATTTTATTACACTCACAAAATGTTTGAAATAAGAGTTAATTTATGTTCAGGTATGTATATTGTTCTCAATTGCTCAAGTAAACATTTATTTCACACCCCTTGGGATGCACTGCAATAACTTAACAGATGACAATAGAATATTTACTGGATATTGAAATAAATATGCACTGGATTTGTCATACTACAATAATTTTAATGTCTATTAAGCGGACAATATTTGAAAATGTTTGTAGTAATGGCTCGTTTATATATCTGTAAACATTTTAGTTAAAATTTGTAATAGCTTATCAGTATAATCCCTCATATATCTGAAAACATTTTAGTTAAATCATTTTATTTAACCTAGGGTATACATGTTTGCACTACGAGGGTTGTCCCAGAAGTAATGCACTATGTGCTCTAACTTTCTTTAATATTCCTCAATTCAGCTGAAATTTTGTGTATATAACAATTGAAGTCTTATCTATTATATCCTGAAGTTTCAGCATCAAACATTTATATTAACTCTTAATATGGTTGCTATAGCAACATGGGGGTAGGGGTGGACGCAGGTACCAATTTTTCTAATTATGAAAAGATCTAATGTGTTATTTTATTAATATTTCTTTCTTTTAAATGATCAAAATGTTTGGGAAATTGTTCATTCAGCATAATGTTAACCAAGTACAAATAATGACATTTAGCACTGTGATGTCATAATACCACATTTCAATAGTCACAAATTCAAATACAGTCACAGTTAAGAAATTGCAAAAATGGCTGCAATTCTCACCTGATAACAGAAAGCCTTGCGTTTGGTGGCCTAATTTCATACTTTACTTAGACTTACAGCCATGCAAAACATATTCTACCATGAAGAAAGTATATAAGGAGTATATACCAGACAGAACTACAATTATGAGGTGGCAGAAGAGATTTAAAAGACATGATTTGACCCTGTATGACAACTCCAAACATGGGAGGCAAAAACTCCATAAGTCACAGTGGAAGTAATTGCCAAGAGTTTTTGACCTGACAGGCATCAAAAGTACATAACATTCAAAGGGCAATATTTTGAGAAAATGTGAAATGGGAGACTGTGTATTATACATCTATTAAATCTAGCATGTGCTCATAGTAATTAAGTATCTTAAAATGTATTTTTGAGCATACTTCTTAGAGCTAAACAAAATGGTATTTGTTGATTAATTATTTCATATTTTCAATTTTTATTCCTTTTGACATGACTGTATAACCTGCCCCACCCTACCCAAACTCACCAACTTGATTTTATTATAACATCAATATAGTTTTATCAGTCAACATGAACATTTGTAGAATAATCAAAATGTCTTTAAGGAACATTTTCTGAAAATTTCATGGAAAAATATCAATTATTGATAAAGTTAGAGCATATAGTGCATTACTTCTGGGACAACCCTCGTATTATGTCTCCTTTGCTTGACCTGTTTACGATGACTGCACTTGACCTGTTTATGATGTTTATGACTTCTACATGTATACCTAGTGAAAAACAAACTGGTTCATATTAAACCTGACCTGGCATATGACCACCATTGGACCAGCCCTTAGCTCAAGCCCTGCAGGATTTCACTTTATGTTATATCACGCGGTAGGTCAAAAATTCAAATTAACGGTCGAAGTAAGTACCGCGTGAATATAATTGCATATATTCATGAATAATTTTGTTTTATATTTTTCAGTGGGTTTCCCTACTTGGCTGGGTGCTTTCTCTTGGCCTGATATTTGCTATGGTTTATGGTGACTGGAGATGCCCTTCGTGCACTAAGATCCCTGCATGGCTACAGATTATGTTCTTGTCCATTCAGAGACAGGGCACAGCAATTGGTGTAGCATGGATAATATATGCATGCATAACTGGAAATGGAGGTAACGATGAAGGACTTTTGGTATTGTGGATGGTTTGAAATTATCACCCAATTGCCAGCTTTGATGAGCTATGTCTTGATTTTACAAAGTGTCAATAAAAATGTTGTTAATTTATTGAATGAGAAAAATATCAAAGCTCAGAGTTCTTTATAAGGAATCTGCAATTTTTGTCAATGTATTTTATTTTACAGGCTTTATAAACACACTTCTCTCATGGAGGGGTTGGATTCCTCTATCTAGGCTCTGTTACACAGGCTACCTGATTCACCCCATGATCAATTACTATTACAACTTCTCAAGGATGCAGCAACAATATATGAGGGTGTGGCCTGAAATGGTAGGTTCAGGGGTTGAAAAATCATTCTTTTTTGTTAATACCTGGTATTTGTAGGTGTTTAGGACTTAAACTGGATTATTCCTTCATGCAATACATATGTATCTATTCAGAAAAAATACCACAATGAAAAACAACGATTCTACCTAACTGCCTTTCTTTAACCCAAAGACACAAACTACAAAATGTATGTTAATGTAATGATCAATTCATAAAAGTGAAATAGTTCATTTAAAATCAGAGCATTAAGAGTGAAGAGTATTGACTCAAAATCAAAAAATAAATCAGCAAATATATCAAATAAAATAAATGTTAAAACCCGAGCATGCCCCAAAACTAATCAGTTCTACTTTTTCTCTTGCAGGTTGTAGCATTTGGTGGTGTTTTGACACTGACCATAGGATTCAGTATAGTGGTGACCCTGTTGTTTGAGATACCAATGCTGGGTATTGAGAAAGTGATTATACCACCCCCAGCTAAGAAGAAAAACTAAATGATGACCAGCATGAACTAAATAATGTTGAATATTGTTGAGCATGAGTCTATCCTCCAGTCACAATCTAGTGATAAGCTGTAGTAAATGAATTAAGGTTCTAAGCTTATATCATAAGTTGGTAGACAGAAGTGGAGCATGATTCCAATGTGGCCTTTGTCAACAAACTGCACAATTAGCTATCAATGTAGTCACAGTCCTAACTTGTCTAAATACACAGTTATTACAGTTTATCTTATAAAATGTATGACATAGAACAATAGAATAACATGATGTAACCATTAAAGTAAAAGTGTTTCTGTCATATCTAAATATTTCTTGTTGTTTTTCATCCTTACAAATAACCAGCAAGCAACTTACTTCTATGCTATATGGTATGCTTATAAAAATAGATCAAAAGCTAGAAACATTTTGATGTCTGAGTACGAGTAATAACTGTTAATCCATGGATGAAATGTTCCAGTCTGAAAAGTTGCATAAATGGTGGTATACTTACAGTTACAGCATTTTGGAGTACTTGAGTATCTGAAGACAGCCTATTGGTCAATTCCCCTGTCCTAAGAATAAAAAAAAAATGCAAACAAATCACATATGACCTGCACCATTTCTATTATAAATTTCATAAAAATTGAGTTAAAATTAAAACTGGTTGAACTTTTTAAAAAATTGTTGATGTTTTAATTAATGACTAGGATACAGGCAACGCAGAGCTTATTAAAACATATAATAATAATATTATAATTCACCCTGTGCTTCCCAAATGTGGTGTACATGAAAATGGAACAATTGAAAATAATTCTATAATTCCAAATAAAGATGCAACATTTCCATAAAAACATTAGAGATAATAGGGTAATTAACTGGTGATCTAATGTACATGTATTCTGATCAAATATTATTCATGCATTTTTATCTTATACATCTTGCAGTCAATTGAATGGTTTTGAAAAATTACACACTCAAAATGCATCCTGTCAGTGTCAAAACAGGGATTAACAGTGTATCTTACAATATAAAGAATCAAAAAATCATGCCGATGAAAACGTTAGCCTTTACCTTGTTGTGTCAAAGAATGCAACATCCTGTTTGATTATACTGGCAAAGAGCTGAGTTCTAAGCCTGGCTACAAATCTCTGGCCAGCTAGAGTGAACAGCCAAGATCTGAACAGTCCAGAAAGTGCACCTCCAATGTAGATCAGCACCAGAATCACAACAGTGCGATTAAGATCCTCTGAAAATAAGACAAAGCAAAATGTTACTATGCTGGGGTCCATTTTTGGGAACCTATGTACCACCTATGATTTGGTTGCAAGTCATATTGTTTGACAATGCTTTTCTCAGAATTATAAGATACGACCATTCCAAAAATGAACCCCTCCATCAGCAAGAAATCTTTCCACAGACCACAGTGCTGTAGGATCCAGAATATTTTCCTTTCCTTTCACATTTAACAAGTTCAAGAGGTCTAATGATGTAGATTGCACCAAGTAGTTATCAGTTAGAAAAAATCATTCATGTGCAAAGTGAATCAATTGCTTTTCAAATTGAAAAGGTGAGAGTAGTTAAAATCAATTTAAAACGTGACTGTGTTGCATAAAAGAATTTTCAAGGTTAGATCTTAATGATCACAAGCATAACTTTCATGGCCTTACATTTAAAGTTGATGATAAAGGCAGAAAAATATAATGGTGCAATTATATTGTCAATAGTTCAATAGCAGTCTTTAGAGGACATCATCTACATGTATAATTTAAATGCTCTAAATATTTCTATTGCCAACCCTTTTCAATAGTTCAGTGTCATTTATAACTTAAATAATGCTCTGAATATGTCCAGAGCCAACCCTTTTCAATAGTTCAGTGTCATTTATAACTTAAATAATGCTTTGAATATTTACAGCGCCAACCCTTTTCAATAGTTCAGTGTCATTTATAACTTAAATAATGCTTTGAATATTTACAGAGCCAACCCTTTTCAATAGTTCAGTGTCATTTATAACTTTAATAATGCTTTGAATATTTACAGAGCCAACCCTTTTCAATAGTTCAGTGTCATTTATAACTTAAATAATGCTTTGAATATTTACAGAGCCAAACCTTTTCAATAGTTCAGTGTCATTTATAACTTTAATAATGCTTTGAATATTTCCAGAGCCAACCCTTTTCAATAGTTCAGTGTCATTTATAACTTAAATAATGCTTTGAATATTTACAGAGCCAACCCTTTTCAATAGTTCAGTGTCATTTATAACTTAAATAATGCTTTGAATATTTACAGAGCCAACCCTTTTCAATAGTTCAATGTCATTTATAACTTAAATAATGCTCTGAATATGTCCAGAGCCAACCCTTTTCAATAGTTCAGTGTCATTTATAACTTAAATAATGCTTTGAATATTTCTACCCATATCAAAAGTTTAATGTCATTATCTTAGGAGAACTTCACCCATGGTTATTACTAAGTAACCTAAAGCCATTCCAATCCAAAACTCACCCATGGATCTCTGAGCTGCATCCACTACAAGTCCAAAGAAGAGTGGAGCTACAACTTGTGAAGCTGTTGAACCCATTAAGGCCACACTTGCTATAGCAAGCATAGGGTATTCCTAAAAGTTAATAAAAGAAATTGAACCTTAATATATATTTCAAGATTTAAAAGATTCTGAAGTTGTTGAAAAAGAACATAAATTATGTAAGCATGGACCTTGTGCTTAAGAGACTGTAAAATGGTTAAATTTTTTCTGGCTTAAAAGATGATTGAATTTTCAAATATGTATGATGGTCCATTAAAAGTTTGGTGTTGAACCATTAAAAGCCATGTTTAGACTGATAATTGAAAGTGTTTAGTTGCAGAATTGCAAGATTTAGTGATTTATAACGCTCAGAATTCCTCTAAATTTTAGTCACAATCTTTATACTTAGTACTTTTCAAAAGATTCATGAGTGACGCAAAAAAGATTCGATCTTAACCCTGCATGGAGGATAAACCTGACAGCCAACACCTTTAAACCCACTGCCCTGAATACATTCTCCCCCAAACCCCTCAGAAAATGATTATGTAAACATTGCAACTGGTGGATACACATAGGAATATACTTACTGGTTTAGCAAGTTTAACAAGTCTAAGAATACTGGCATCTTTTGTAATTGGTTCTCCCTTATCATTTAACTCTTGTCCTTGTTCATTAAACTCATGTTTAATCCGTATTATAGGTATATTCCTCATGGCAGTAAAACTGTAGAGTGATGCTAAGAAGAGCAACAGAGAGAATACAACTACACATATTAACATCACATTGCAATGTATATGCATTTTCCGGTATGTGTTGTCGTTGATTATAGCATTTAGAACAAGTCCAGCTTTCGTGACTGCAAACGTCAAGTGGAGGAAACTTAAAAAGATGCTCAGAAAATGCATGATTTCTTTCAAAGTGGAGCTTGAAGTCCGATATGTTTCGCTGAGAATTTTTTGTGTAAAGTGTTCCATAATTGCATAACTTGGAATCAATGTGATTAGTTTAGATGTGGTTACTACGGCAACATCAAAGACAGATCCAAGGAATGAATAGTTGGTTATCTGGTCAATGAAAAATTTGCTGTCTCCGACTGAAAGCAAACAAATTGTCAAATGATGTCAGAAATTAACAAGGCATAAAATGCAAAATGTCACCACCTGCCAGTTTTTAAATCTAGTCTCTCTTTACAAGCGACAGGTTGATGTCGAAGATAATACAAGTACTGTATGTGAGACTTTAATATTATACATAACATAACCTTTTAAAACATATATAATAATGCATATTTAATAAGTTCTCTTACCTGCAAACCATAGGACCCATATGGTGATCAATTCTGCGAAAAGAAGCACCAGAACCCCATTGATGTAGCGTATCCATGGTAATGTATAGGTTCGCCGCACAGAACTATTTTCGTTTGCTAGATGTTCCATGGATGAATCCATTGCAGCATCACTTTCGACATCCATTTTAAACTTCTGTATTTCTGAACTATAATTAACAATAACACGGTGTATAACCCAAACGCTCCTACATGCACGACGGAGCGTTTCATTACTGAAATTAAACAAAGAAACGCTCCGGAGTAGGAAAACTGGCTGGCGGGAATGATGAGCCGTCTGACGATTTCCCCAATAATGGGAATAAGAGGTATGAGTTACATATTTCAAGTATACCATTCGATGGGTGTGATATTCATGTTGCACTTGGCTGGCTGTTGACGTTTGAAGCAATTAGGAAGAGCTGTACTAAGCAGTAAAGTTATCAAAATTCAAAAACGTATTTGTCATTCTACCGGTAAAAACCTCTTTTGTCGATACATGTGATTAGTTGAGCCAAGATTAGAGCACCAACGTATATTTTAGTCAAATTTCAATGCTTCAACGCACCATACATTATCGTAATAGTGATTTGATGACCGAAAATCCAGTCTTAAAAATGATGACATTCTCATATTTAAGAAACGCTCCGATCTGGTTAACACAGTGAACTGGAAACGCTCCGGTAGTCTAGATCAGTTTAGGAAATATATAGCTTGCCTTTCCTTTTCAGAAAGAGAAAAAAAGATCTATTATACCCCTTGGCATCAAAAAAGGAAAGATTAATTCACATATAAATTTTCGTTTTTTCTATAGTTTTATGATTTAGCACATATGTTGGCATGACATCATCTAATGTATAGGCTTAAATCAGCTAGTTGCACGTTTAGCACCACCAGGTTCAGATGTTTCAATTTGCCTAACAAGTACAACATATTTTTGAGAGATAGATTCGATTCGGAACTCTTCTCTAATAATCTGAAAATGATATCAAAACAAAATGGAAAGAGCGTTTCTAAAATTGTGTTCTAAATCGACGGAGCGTTTCGAGGAAAACAAGCGATTTCTCGAGAACAAGTAATGGATTCGGACTGGGATTTTAGGAAATGAAAATATACGAGTTTGTGATCTACTGCTTTAACAGAAAGATTAACGTTTTCATAGAAATACTAGTTTAATTCGTAATTTGTGGTCAAATCGTCATCTTCAGATTCGTTCGAGCTACACTACGGAGCTTTGATCAAGCAAATAACAGTTTACCACCAGAAGTTGAATAAATAAGATCTTTGCTCACGGTATTGTTCATCGAATGGTACATAATATTTCACCATAACATATGATATGTAAGAGAAACGAGAAAAACAATACTTACGGTCATAGTGGAATCTTCTTTAGCCGCCATTTTATTTCGCTTAGGAGCGTTTCCGCGTAAATGAAACGCTCCGTCGTGCATGTAGGAGCGTTTGGGTTATACACCGTGAATAACATACATGTATTTACCATAACTTATTAACCCTTTCCCGACATGAATATAGAGGAAAATGTTGGCCCTGGTGACGGATAAGTAAGAGCGTTTTTAGAAGGAGACTGCAAATTAAACATGCCCTGGGACCTATACCTTGTATTTTACAACTGAAATACAATTCTCAGTAAGGATTATCAGATTAGAACAACTTGTCAAAATTTGGTGTAAAAATACTGAATAGAACTGAAGATATTGTCATTTCATTGATGTATATGAATAAAATTAATGGTGCCAAAAGGGGCCTATCGTCCATAGGGCCCCATATGGAGCCTATCGTCATGAAAGGGTTAAAGGGGTTCTGATTCTGAAATACCCCACAAGTTTAGGTTTTGTTAGCCTAACCAAATATCTGTCTTACCAATTACAAGGGCAAGCTAACATTTATGCATACAATGTACATTTCTTCACAATAATCACGGTGTATAACCCAAACGCTCCTACATGCACGACGGAGCGTTACATTTACGCGGAAACGCTCCGAAGCGAAATAAAATGGCGGCTAATGAAGATTCCACTATGACCGTAAGTGTTGTTTCTCTCGTTTCTCTTACATATCACATGTTATGGTGAAATATTATGTACCATTCGATGAACAATACCGTGAGCAAAGATCTTATTTATTCAACTTCTGGTGGTAAACTGTTATTTGCTTGATCAAAGCTCCGTAGTGTAGATCGAACGAATCTGAAGATGACGTTTCGACCACAAATTACGAATTAAACTAGTATTTCTATGAAAACGTTAATCTTTCTGTTAAAGTAGTAGATCACAAACTCGTATATTCTCATTTCCTAAAATCCCAGTCCAAATCTATTACTTGTTCTCGAGAAATCGCTTGTTTTCCTCGAAACGCTCCGTCGATTTGGAACACAATTTCAGAAACGCTCTTACCATTTTGTTTTGATATCATTTTCAGATTATTAGAGAAGAGTCCCGAATCGAATCTATCTCTTAAAAACGTGTTGTACTTGTTAGGCAAATTGAAACATCTGAACCTGGTGGTGCTAAATGTGCAACTAGCTGATTTAAGCCTATACATTAGATGATGTCATGCCAACATATGTGCTAAATCATAAAACTATAGAAAAAACGAAAATTTATATGTGAATTAATCTTTCTTCTATTGATGCCAAGGGGTATAATAGATCTTTTCTTTCTCTTCCTGAAAAGGAAAGGCAAGCTATATATTTCCTAAACTGATCTAGACTACCGGAGCGTTTCCAGTTCACTGTGTTAATCAGATCGGAGCATTTCTTGAATATGAGAATGTCATCATTTTTAAGACTGGATTTTCGGTCATCAAATCACTATTACGATAATGTATGGTGCGTTGAAGCATTGGAATTTGACTAAAATATACGTTGGTACTCTAATCTTGGCTCAACTAATCACATGTATCGACAAAAGGGGTTTTGACCGGTAGAATGACAAATACGTTTTTGAATTTTGATAACTATACTGCTTCAAATAGCTCTTCCTAATTGCTTCAAACGTCAACAGCCAGCCACGTACAACATGAATATCACACCCATCGAATGGTATACTCGAAATATGTAACTCATACCTCTTATTCCCATTATTGGGGAAATCGTCAGACGGCTCATCATTCCCGCCAGCCAGTTTTCCTACTCCGGAGCGTTTCTTTGTTTAATTTCAGTAATGAAACGCTCTGTCGTGCATGTAGGAGCGTTTGGGTTATACACCGTGATAATAATAAGAAAAATATAATGTACATGTATGAGTGAAGATCTTTTCAAGTTGTTCATAAGTTTCTTTGATAATAAGCTGCCTTTAAATATCTATATTCAAGACCCTTAAAATCATCATTAAATATATTCAGGATCGACTTTTAGTGAAGAACCATCACTTAAACTGTTGAAGTATGGCATAAATATGTGATTTAATAGACTTGATGTTTTTTTCTTTTTAAAAGGTACAATTTAAAATGAAACGTGACAAGCTGTTTAGCTGTACAGTCTACAATTTGCATTATAAATATACTCTGATACAAAGAAACTGAGAAATAACAAAGCTTGCAAACAATTGTTTAACTGTAATAAAAGACATGAAATTACTAGGGGTGGATGTTTGTACTTTCTAAAAAGAAAAATATTAAAAGGCAATTGTTAGCAAGTTCAACGTTTTTGTTCAGGACTAATATTTAGAGAAAAAGAGTTTGGTTTTAATACATCATTTTCTTGTTAATGAGAAATGGTATACACAATTGAGATAGCGATTTGGTCTGTGAACCCCATCCCCCTTTATCTACTACATGTACGATAATTGAGTGAATTATATAACCAATATTTTGAAAATTTGTCTCCTGCTAAGGATGACTTACATGTAACTTGTATTAACATTCTCAAAAGTGCACCTCCATGTTAAAATAAATGAATTAAGTGTCTAAAATTTGTACTTAAACTTCATTCTAATTTAGGCACTAGGCTGGATTAAGATATGATTACAGAAATGTACTATGTCTGTATACGTATAGGAAGCTAGCAGATCAAGATTAACTTTCAAACTTGTCTTCAATCACATTCTTATGAATATGGATATTTCTGCACCTTATACACTGGCAGATCTGGATAGGCACAGAAGAAAATGTTGCCACAATCAATTTTTACAGCCCAATTAGTGGGCCTTTTTGAGCATTACTGGGCTTTTTGAGCCTTTTAACTTTGGGCCAAAATATTTCAAAGTTTCAGATCCACCTCTGCTGTATATTGAAGGATTGAAGTTTTCTTTTAAAATTCACGCCAATGTAAACAGTTTAATAGAATGACTTTTAAATCCTTCTTATTCATTTAATTAACTTACAAGCTCTCAATTCTTTTGAACAAAGTAGGATTGAAGTTTTCTTTTAAAATTCACGCCGACATTTATTAGAATGACTTTTTAAACAATTGCTTTATACATTACACCTTCTTATCCTTCTTATTTATTTAATCAACTTACAAACACACTAAAATCTGTTATGTGTGTATTGATCATTTTTGACATCATACACTGTATGTCTGAGAGCTGTTCCACTAATACGGAGATTCATTTTACATTTAGTCTTTGAGCATGCAACTGGACTTGGTGTTCCAGTTACAGAGGTGTCCCACTTAACTGGTTTTACTGTATATTAGATTTTGACATTAACACATTTACAATTTTCCATGTATTGTACATTAATTCTCCATTTCGCTGTTCGCTCTTTGAATCAGAACGTTCGCATATATGGTGCATATATGTACTCAAAAAGGACAAAATTTGATTGGTCAATATTTTTCAACGATGCATTTCGTGTAGCTATTTGTGAGACCCGAAAGTTCTAAATCAAATTAATTACGCAATTTTGTTTTTACACCCGCAAGCTAAATAAAAAAATGACACCATCGGAATTCTTCTTCTTTGTCATTGAATTAATAGTCAGTATACCAGATTTAATCAATAAAAGATTATACAATTAACAACAAAATTCGGAAACGAGTATGTAAGATTTGCTTTCGAACCACTAAACTTGACCTAGATAATAGCGACGTGTCTTCTTTGGTCAAATGCTCAGTTGTTTGTGGGTTTTCAACGTAACTCTATAATGTAATATGAAGATGAGTACTTTTATTCAGTTGTTGCATCGATGTTACAGTTTGTAGTGCGGTAATATTGGCATGAACGTGTTGAAAGTCGAATGGAATTGCTTTTTCCAATATGGCGACTAGTCACGTGACTTCTTCTCTTCCGGAATATACTCCCATTTTCAATCATTGTTTTCACCCCGTTAGGAGCCAATAAAATGAAAAAAAATATATGTTATATAAAGATTATTAAAAGACTAATTGTTTCTGATAGTTTGTTTTCTCCGATCGCATGGAGATTCGATCGAAAATATCGCTTGAAAAATGGGTATGAAAATCCCCATGTTAAACCAACGGGGAAAAACAAGGTAGAAAAATTTTGTTCCCCCGCGAACTGCATCATGGGAAATATTTTGACCTTATAAGGAAAAACTTTCGCGCCATCTTTATTAGACATTCAATACTACCGAATCCGCGATTTTAAGAATTGTATATGATGTGTATATATAAGGCAATACCTGTTACTTTTAGTTGTCCAAATCTGTATATTTTGTGCACCTCCTGGATTTGGAGCGTGGCTGTTAATTCGACTTTCTTGATAACTCTCTTGATGTTTCTGGTAACTGGAATCAAATTTAAAAAAATATAATTTGCCCTTGAAGTTATAAGTCTAAAAGCAGCAGGCAATACGCTATCTGATATGGTTGTTTTCCTAAAATCGTTTTTTTATTCTTGCAACAATTTTCAATTCTAATTTCTATTGATACAATAAGTGCCTGTTTTTTAATTTGTTAATCAATTACATTGTGTCATAAAATTTGAATGAAACTTCTGAAAATTAGTGACACCTTCTATATACATGTACCTGTATGTGTATCATATTTCCTTTTATGAATTTTGGGATTCATACACAAAGTCCTAAGCTAGTGATATCAATATTGAAATCCACTCCTCACAGGGAGACTTGGGAGTCAAAGGCTGCTGAGTCATATTCCAATATTAGGAATGACATTACAATATTTCATCATCATCATTGTAAATGTGAACTCATTTGTATTTACTGTTACTGATATGGACTTTAAAGAGATCTCTTAATTGGGAACAATGCATTTCCTTAAAAATATAAAATACTGGTACATTTGTTTGTGTTCTTATAATTTCTTCATGCTTATGACAAATTACATGCCATAATAGTGAACAATGCCGTTATGCCGTTATTGAGTTTAACGACGACGTTGAACTACTAGTAGTCAGGGGTTTCAAATCATAAGCAGTAGGCAACAAGCGATTTTCACTGTTTGTTTTCACAAAATCACCTGTTGTTTTTAGGGACTTCTCAATTTTTCCATGTTAAATTTACGATTTCCATAATTCTGCCTGTTGTTATCATTTATTTAGTCTGTTGTGAGAAATTCTAGTGAAACCCTAGTCCAACAACATTAGACCTAGCCCGGGCCTCGTTTCTTATCTGACATGTGTTATGGCCCGGCTCAATAATGGCCCCAAGAAAATTCCTAATAATAAAGAACGCCGTTATTGAGTTTAACGACGTTGAACTAGTGAAACCCCTGACTGTCCTTGAACGTGAACTCAAACAGAATGACTGTGAGCATAGACTAAACTATCAGGTCTTTAATTTTCAAACACTCAGATCACATGTTGCTGAGTGAATGACATCCAGACAGTGAGTTATAAAATGGCAGGTCGCTTTGACATTGTCAGAAAAAGCACTATAGCTAAACACAGGTGGTATTATAGTCCTAATAGACAGCTGTAACTTCTGTTACTTCTCTCCCTTCCTGAATGAGAGACAGTTTTAACACGCTTATTGTACATTAAATTGAAAAAGTGAACATTACACAAGATTCTTTGAGGAGGATTTAGAATATTGAAAATGAATTTGAGATAAAATTTTAGAAATCAATTGATTTGGATAGTCTACAAACCTCATCTTCCTCATCAAATGACGTTCTAATATGGTCAAAAAACAACCTGAATACAATGTAATAGTATATCAACTACATTCTGATTGGATCGTATTATCATATTAGTGATAAAATAGGTCCAAACATCAATTAAAACAGTCCGAAGTTCATCCTACCTGTATTTTCACTTCAGATTATGCTACATGTAGGTCAAAAGGTTATAAAATATTAGGTCATGTGATGGTCATGTGACAATCCAAGATGTCGGCCGTCAAGCAGAGTAGCGATTTTGATGTTGTTGTGATCGGAGCGGGAATTCAAGGCTCGTCCACAGCTTATACATTGTCCAAGAGCGGTAAAAATGTGCTATTACTCGAGCAGGTAAATTTGAAATCATTCATTAGTATTGACATTGCGAGTTTACTGAATTGCGGGAGTGAATTTTAGATTTTCTTCCTGAAGTCTGTACATGTAGATCCAAGTCAATTTTGGGTCAATGCTAAACTTTATGGTCATTTTTACTCTCTAAGAACGGCCACAGGTCAATTAGACCCAAAGCAGTGATTATATGTAACAAACTATTTCAACTAAGATTGAAATGGAAAATCAGAGCGGTTATGTAACATATAACAAGTGGATCCATGGAAGATTTGGAAGCCAGGGTGATATTCAGTAATTTCCAATCGATGTGGTAGTTTCCCTTCCTGCCTGTATATTTCTAGGCCTGCAAGGAGAATTGCTGATATTCTTGATTGAGTTTTGTATTCATAACATGACTTTGTGATATCCATACTGTAGGCTGCCCTGTCAACCCTCACGCATAAGGCTTGATTGTCACGCATTTGCTGCAAAAAAAAGAAATCATGCAAAAAGCTGATACAGTAAAAAATGAACCCTGAAAAAAAGTGAACACATTCTGTTCAGACTTTTCACGCGAATTTTGTATATGTCACACATTTGGTTCAAAAAATGTGCATATGTCACGCATCTGCATCAAAACATTGCCATCCTTGGTGCAAGGGTATTTCACTTCTTTCCATACTCTTGGTGCACTTATACAATTGTCGGGACTGAGCAAACAAACTTTCAAATTATGTCATAGGCGTAGCCAGGAGGGGGTTCGATGGTGCGATCGCACCCCCCCCCCCCCCCATTACCAATAAAAATATGACCATGATGATAGAGGAAGAATATTTGAAGCTTCTAGCTCAATTTTGAAGGAAATTACATACATTTTTGTAAATTCAATACAAATCTAATGATCTTATTATGTTATATATTCGTATTTTTCATTTTTTGGGTACCCGGTTTTTCGACTGGGTATCAGGTTTCAAGTTTGAACCCAGCATGGAGGATTTACTACCCGGTACCTGGTTTGTTCTTCAAACTCTTCATTCCATTGTTCCTTTAACATGTTCATTCTTTTGTTGCCCCTTTAACATGTTCAAGCACGCAGTATAATATATGTATGTACCTGTACACTTGCAAGATCTTTTTGAAATACATGAAAAAAATAGTTCTTTAATATGATGCCAGCTTTTATTATTCTCAGTAGTATTTTGGTATATTTATTTCTTAGTAGAGAAATAATTTAGGAACAATCTGTATTCTATGATATTTGTTAAGAATAATATCTAAGATTTGCCTAAGAGTTCTAGCATAGAACCCATATATTGTTTTCTTTCTGTCAGTTTTACTCTTCAGGTTATCTTATTTATCATCTGAAAAATTGTGGACATTAATTCAACATACATGTAGTCATTACTAAAATCCAAAAGGGCAGGTACGTTATTTTAAATAGCATTTGAAAGACTGTACCTGGTTTATGGACATTAAATCAACATGCATGTAGTCATTACTAGAATCCAAATTTGATATAGGTATCAATATACCAAACTAAAATGATTACAAAATTAAGTAGGTCAAACTCATAGAAAGTACATGTATGTACCAAAATCGCAGATTCAGAATTCTTCGTCCTCTCATTATAGTTCCCACTCCCACATACAAGAGGCAGTTCACATGGCCAGTCTAGGATTATCAGGAAAACATATGAAGAAGACCATTTTGCTGAGATGATGCAAGAAGCATATAGACTCTGGGCAGAGATAGAAAAAGACTCAAACACAGAGCTTTATGTGTGAGTATTTAATAACATGAATATACATGTGGAATATTTAAGTTTTAATTCAGTGTTACATTTTTTAAGTCACAAATTTCTAGATTATTTAAAAACACAAAATAACAAGAGTAACGTGTGTAAGCAATTACATAATGGGATCATATAATATATTGCATAAGTTTCTATAGTTACCCCGGGGTTATTAACACATTTTAGTGTGTATTAGCTAGAAAATATTTCAAGTTGCAGTTGTATAATGTTATTATGTAGCCTTAGTCTATTTCATATAAGGTTTCTGGAACATGTTGTCATTGGCTAAAAGAGAGAATCAGATCTAGTGAGCAGGCCAACAAAAATTGTTTCAATTTTAGAATATTTCTGACTCATATCATTCCTTGTCATGTCTATTTTCTAAAAGATCCCCAAAATGCATATTTTACTTCAGGAAAACTAAACAATTTTACAAATACCAGGTCGATCAATAAGTTCTGAGAATTTCCCTCTAAAATCAAGAGTTTTGTGACTTTTTGAATGAAATTTTCACAGAATATGTAGAATGTATTCAGCAATTAGTGTACCAAGTTTTTCTTACTTTCCTTGTATTGGACCAAAAATATGGTTACTATGGTAACTTGTGTTTTGGGTAGGCGGGGCAAATAATTTTAATGTCAGAAGTAAAGCGCATAAAATGTAAATAAATCATTTATAAATCAATTATAAATATAGTTCTGAGCTGCTTCCTGCATTAGGGTTGGTCATATAGTCCTAGTAAGATGTCAAGGGGGTTCAATTAAGATGTTCAAAGTAATTTCCTCGGTTCTTAATACACCTCTCCTGGCGTTGAACCAACTGGCGGAACAAGTGCCTAAATCCATCTGGGAAACGTTTTTTCAGGGCATTTTGCACGGCATTGTGGAGGTCTGTAAAGTTCGCATATCTGAATCCTCTCAGCTCATCTTTCATCGGTCCAAACACACCAAAATCACAGATCGCAACATCTGGTGAATAGGGAGCATGGGGTAGTTGTTCCATCTGAAGGTCATTAGATACAGTGCTTTTGACAATCGAAGATGTGTGGGACGGGGCATTGTCGTGATGATTAAGTAATGACGACAGCTCTGTTTCAGGGCGTTTTCGTGCAATAGCCCGCTTAAGATGACGTTTCAATACCTGAAAAAAGAAGTGATTTTTAGGGCACCATTCCCTCACTAGATGTATTTAAACTACATGTACATTCAAGCTGAACTACCTAGACTAGAGTGAACATAAATTCTCTGGCAAGACATGATCCTGAAGGGCATCAATAGCCACACACTAACTTACCATAGCATAATAGTCTTTGTTTATGGTTTGTCCTTCAGCGACTGCATGCACCAGGAGTACCCCGTAGATATCCAGGAAAATGATGAACATAACCTTGCCATCTCTACGATTGAGTTTAGCAATGGTCGTCATAGGGGTAGGGGAGTCCTTTGTTCTCCATCCACTTGTGGCTCTCTTGCCTTCTGGCTCATAATATGAAACATAAACTTCATCAGCAGTAATAATGCGCTCCAAGAAAGCCTCCCCCTCTGCTTGGTATCGTCTGAGGAAGTCTTGTGCAACATCGACCCGGCGCTGCTTCTGGTCCATGGTTAGATCTTTTGGCACCCATTTAGAACACACAAGCTTCATATGGAGCTTCTCTTTCAGTATGTACTGTGTCCTTCCATAGCTGAAGTTTACTTTTTCACTTAACTCCCTGATTGTTATTCGCCTGTCTTCATCAAGGACAGTCTTGAGCTTCATTATATTTGTGGACTTTGTAACAGATAGTGGCCTTCCTGACCTTGCTTCATCTTTTACACTGGTTCTCCCACTTTGGAATTTGCCATACCATCTGTAAATAGTTTTAGTGGATATCCTGCCTGGAAAGGCTACCAACATCTCCTTGAGTGTTTCTTGTTTACTTTTGCCACCAAGCACGCAAAATCGTATGGCACTGCGCATCTGTATTGACATTTCCTCATTTTCTTCCAAATTTTTAGCATCTTTTGGAGCGGCCATTTTGGCAGGGTACATTGAGGTTGTGGAATTATGATGTAATAGTAATATTATGTAATTTGTCCTGAATTATGATGTCATAAATTGTTACCATAGTGATGGTTATAAAAACAACAAAATCCTCATTGAAATCCAATGCTTTGGTTGAAACATAAGATTGTTGCTTGATGTTAAAAAAAATTATTTACGTTAAAAATACTTGCCCCGCCTACCCAAAACACGAGTTACCATGGTAACCATAATTTTGGCCCAATAGGTGGAAAGTGCATTTAACTTCTTACACTAATTGCTGAATTCATATTACATGTTCTGTGAAAATTTCAAATAAAAATTCACAAAACTCTTGATTTTAGAGGAAAATTCTCAGAACTTATTGATCGACCTGGTATATATTATTTTTCTACAAGAATAGTTAATAATATTCTGGCAGCCAAAGTGTAAATAAGAATATGCGGTCATACTATTTTATGACCGCAGCTCATTTAAATATGAATAGTACCTGCCACTATTCTATTCATATTTAAATAAGTTGGTCATACATGTAAAACAGGAGGTGTTAATCCAGTAGCTGACAGCCGAAAGTAGCCAAGGGGCCACTAATTTATTAATATGTCAGCCGACAGTTGAATTGGTGAATACAATGTAATTCAAAACTGACACCCTGAGATTAAAAGGCCAGTTGTAATGACTAACCTCTGAAGAAGATATTTGGTTAAACTCTCCTTTAAAGAAGCAAAATCAAACTATTGAAAGGATAAACATAAATAAAAATATGAGAAAGGATTAGGAATTTTTATATTATACAGTTAATGTATGTGCTTTTCAGGAAAACTGGCATGTTGGCATTTGGGCCACCCACAGACAGCTATCTTAAAGGTGCAGAGAGAGCGTTTATCAAGTGGGGATATCCATACACAAAGTTTACAAACAAGGAATTCGCTGAAGCGTACCCACAAATCAATGTTCCTGAGAATTATATAGCAATTCTTGACCATGATGCTGGAATACTAAGGGCTGATAAATGCCTTAAAGCCATTCAGGTACCAACTTATTTTCATAAAATACTAGATTTATTTGTAATGATGCCCATTTGTAATTAATACCCATACTGTCGTCTCTTCTTTGACTCCTCTTGAGTGTAATCCTCTCTAGGAACCTTGAGTTACTCCTCTATCATCTGGATAACTCTCAGTAACTCCTTGTTAGTCTTCTTTGCTCCATGTTATTCTTCTTTATTCTAGCCAAGTCTACTCAGCTCTTAGAACTCTGAGCCACTCCTCTCTCGCCTGCTCAGAGTTAATTACTCTTCTCTGGTCCAGGTTACTCTTCCTTACTCCTCTCTATAAGGACTCATGTTAAATATGTTAACTCAGAGGTGCAAATTAGAATCTTATTGGATTCACGAATCATTGTTAAAGTAAAAAATGCAGCATTAATTCAGAGCTGTCAAGTGTCCCGCGAATGGCGGGATTATCCCGCGAATTAGACCAAAATTTGGCTTATTCGCGTGTCCCGCAATGTCCCGCGAATTCCCGCAAATGACGGCTTTGACCTCCGCGAATTTTCAAAATTGTAACAATCCCCGAGGCTAAATAATTGTGATTATATTGTGATATAAGAAGCTAAGCTTTTTGCACTTTTGAGGAGTCAAGTTTACCTAATTTGAAAAGTGCTGCCGAACTCCCAGTGCATCAGATCATCGAAGACTGCTTTTGGAAGGACCATATAGTACACCTATAAAACTATGATTTTGATCCAAATAACACCATAGTTGGCTTCTAGCATGCCGTTTGGTATCAAAATAAAGAGGAAGAGTGCAAATTTCATTTTAATTACGGAAATAGGGATGTATGTCACGATTAGTTCCAACGTTGGCCTTTTTACTACGCGTGTCACGGCCTTCATCTCAGAACTGAACAAATGTTAGCAAACGCGAGTTCCAATAAATGAACACTGATATCTCGAAAAGAAACCTGACTCCCCATAATTTGATGTAGAATAATCGAACCCCTATACGAATAGGTACATTTTGATATATAACACTATGGGGGTAAATGTTTCATAGTTGGTCACGAACGCCATAAGTGCAAAGTATTCACAAGAATTTTTGAATTTCGTGTCGGATTACGGTACTCACACCTAAAGCGTGGTTTTTGATAGTTTAATAATAGTTCTATGCGTATTGTGTGGAATTGTGTTGACGTTTACTTAAGTTAAGTGCATTATATTTGATAAATCAGTATCTGAAAGTTTGATTCAAGAGTACTTTTACATTAAAAATCCCTTGAATGTCCTGGGACATCCCGCAAAAGGTGGATGTCCCGCAAAATCCCGCGAATTTAGGGCACTTTGTCTAGAAAAATTATCCCTCTCTGAAGTCTTTGGTGGTTACCCTGTTAATTGTCCCGCGAATTTAGGTGGATGTCCCGCAAAATCCCGCGAATTTTTGGAACTGGGTCTAAAAAATCTGTCCCGCGAGAAAATCTTTGGGGGTTGACAGTACTGTTAATTGCTATCTATACACGGTGGGCCAAAAAAATGCCACTTTTTTTCCAAAATGCTATAACTTTTTTAATTTTTGATATTAAATCATAATTTACATACCAAATGAAACTTGAGGTTATTATCTAGCCATGGATAAATTATTCCCTTTTACCTGAATAAAATATGTCACAAGCGTCTCTCTTAAACATGGGGTGTGCCATGAAAAATAAGCAAAATTTGCAAAATGTTCCTGAACTGATACGGCCTGATGATTGCCAAGCTAATAGCCCTGATGCAAACACCAGTGAGTATAGGGTATGGGAAGGTCTCCAGGAAATTGTATGAAGGTCCCTAATCTAGAAAATTGCTCAACTAAAGCTGGCATAATTGATACCGCAATATCAGCAAGGCAAGGCATCCTGTAGTTACAGTATATGTACAACTGTTAGTGGTGGGTCTATTTGTAAATATTGGTATTCTGTCACTGTGACAATGATCACGCTGTCTTTTCAATTACACACTCCAGATTGTAAGCTTATGTAGACTGAATAATATGCTAGAACACATGTGGACAGCATGTACTGTAATAATCAAAATATGTAATCCAGAGCGAATGTTGATTCATTAGGCACAAATTGGATACTCAGGGAGATTATATGATGCATGGAAAAGATAGCTGAAAAGTCAAAGGTTTCTTCTGAAGACATAAAAGACAATGACTGAAACAAGCACCTCCAGCATGGAAGACACAACAAATATGACTGATTCTGTCCTACAATCAAAAGTTCTAACAAAAGAGATTGCAATATTTTTATTTATACTGAAGTGTATCATTGCAGTGTGTACAATATGGAGCAACTGTTTAGTATTCTACACTTACTTTAAAAAACGACATCTACGTACTTTAACAGATTTGGCAATAGTAAGCCTTGCAATTGTTGACTTAATCACTGGATGTGGGATGCCTTTAGATTCTGTTAGTTCTTATTTACCGACTTTGCTATCGACATCTGATGAGCTAGATAATCAGTTCTGTTTCATAAAATACCTTATTCTCCAATTTTCATGCCAGCTTTCAATAATGCATCTGACTCTACTGATGTTAGAGCGATATATAAAACTCGCCTTTACGGATTTATATAATGCCTATGTGACAAGGCAAACAATGCTAGGAGCTATAACAACACTTTGGTTGTGTCAGATATTAGTAACAGTACTTCCCATGACTTTAGGGGCATACATTTGGCAGCCAGGCATCCCTTGTCACATGGCTCACGTCTTTAAGAAAGAAATATATCGATTTACGATGTCCCAAATCGGTATATGTCTTATCATTGATATCATTGTGTTCATAGCAACATGTCTTTACATTCTCAGATTAAATCGGATTGTTGAACCTAGTGGAACTTCAAATGCCTCAAGAGAGAAGTATCTGACAAAGACGGTCTTCAGCATGACGGTCTTGTTCTGGTTCAGTTGGCTTCAGGTGTTTTTCATTGTTATATTCGTTAAAATAGACCCAGAGGGTGGATCGTTAGCATCGTTTGTGGTTGTAAACATTTCAGTTCTTGTTGCGCAACTAAATTCTTTGGTGAACCCATGGGTTTATATGTTGCGGAATAAAGAAGGGAGAAATAACATATACAGATTGCTTGGATGTCAGGTTGAAACAAATGTTGTAAGGATTCAAAGCAATGACATTCCTACTGTTGGTCCAAGTGTTGACCCTAATCCAACTGGTGGCTCTAATCCAATAGATGGCTCAATAGAAGAAGCAATGGACAAAATAGATCCAAGTGTTGACCCTAATCCAACTGGTGGCTTTAATCAAATAGATGGCTCAATAGAAGAAGCAATGGACAAAATAGATCCAAGTGTTGACCCTAATCCAACTGGTGGCTCTAATCCAATAGATGGCTCAATAGAAGAGGCAATGGACAAAATAGATCCAAGTGTTGACCCTTATCCAACTGGTGGCTTTAATCAAATGGATGGCTCAATAGAAGAATCAATGGATATAATAGAACTTAGAGACATTGAAGTAGAAAATGGTGAAAGTCCAAAGAATGAGGATGAAGGCTTTTTTTAATGACAAGACATCTTGGAAAACTAATGTAACTCAAAATTATTTATACGAAGTCTTAAAGAGTATAGTCTCCCCAGTGTTTTTGTAGGAGCATGCACTTACAGCACTTACATGTAAAGACATGTCTAGCTTCTCTTAGAGATAATTACATATGTTTTAATTGATGGAAATTTCTAAGTTAGACATGTCTCCCTTGGATAATATGACTTAACTGACTTCAGCTTTTTTCAAAACTGGCACAATATGTCTAAAAACCTGTCATTAAAGCCAAGCATGACTGTCAAATACAGCTCAGACTGATTGGTCAGGTGGGTGGAGGACATGTTCAGTAATTAAATGTTGAACTTGTATATATTTACAGAATGACAATGAATGATGTGTTGAGACCATTTGAAGGGCATATATTATATGGTATGAGATACTGTATTTTGAGCATTGATGTGTCAGGCAGAGAAAATTTTGAAATTTTTCACGACGCACACAGTATATAGATCATGACCATGACAAGCCAAAATTAATCGTACATAAATATTTTTATCCAGAACATTTTCACAAATAATCATTTTACCAGTATCTTAATTTTTGTGGATTGAACTGCAAAAATTAAGAAAATAGAATTAATAGAAAAATGTTCCAGTTTTTATTGGCCCACCCTGTAAGTGTAAAAAATTGTATAGGACATTAATAAAGCTAGAAATGGAGATAATTTAGAAGCACATGGCAGCCATCTTTAAAAATGGCTGCCATTACACGCTATTTTACGATTCTTGCTGTAACTTGAAAAATAGGGGAGCGATTTTTTTTTATATTTGATATTACACATTGTCTTATGGCACTTTGGGTAATGGGCCACCATTTTACGTGCGTTATTTAATGTTTTTTACTATAACTCAAATAGTAGTGGGGTGATTTTGTTCATATGATATGATATATGAATACTCATAATCATTGCACACTGTCTATAATGACAATTCAGGAAGTAGGCAGCCATTTTGAAAAGTGGCCATCAATTTTACTTTTTTACTATAACTATTTTGTTCATATCTGATATGTGAATACTATAAGCATGGCACTGTGTAATGACACTTTGGGGAGTAAGCGGCCATTTTGAAAAATGGCCAACATTTTTACCTGCGTTATTTTGTATTTTTACTATAACTCAAAATGTGATAGAATGTACAACTGTACTTATAACCATAGCACACTATCTTATGACATTTTGGCCATATTACACTTTCTGATGACAATTTTGCTAGTGAGCAACCAATTTGAAAATAATGGCCATTTTTATGTGTGTTTTTCTATGATTTTTGCTTCGTTTGTAAAAATGCCAGTCATGAGTGTTCAATGGTATTTGCTCCGCTTTGGGGTTGCTGTTGTCTAGTATTATGATAATGTAATTTCTTGCTAAGTGTTAATAGGGCTAATATTACAGTGATAATATACAGGTACCACATATAAAAAAGACGGAAATGTACATGTACCTGTCATTGTGTGAATACCCTATATAATTTTCATGTTGACATGAACTTTTGAATATAATGGTGAAAAGGGCAGACTCATGTACTGAATGGAGCATTTTGAAAATGTACTAGTTTTGTTTCAGCACAAAGGATTTGTATCAATATGGTGAACTGAATTCAACAATGTTTTTCCCTTAAACCAGTTATTGAAAACATTCTGTAAAAAAACATGTTGACTGATTGACAACAATTTAATGCGAAAATTATTTATATATGATAACTTTTTAACATTTTTTGTTTTTTAGTGCAATTGTTTTTTGTTCCTTTCTTCCAGTTCTTGACTATGAAACGCAATATCTTTCCGAACCCTGTTGGAACAAAATAGCATATACAACATTTTATTAGACCTCTCTATATTATAGTTATACAAAGGAAAGTTTGGTTGATTTAACAAAAAGTGTTCAAAAAATTTAAAAAAAGAATAAATAAATAGATAAAAATTAAGATAGATCTTTCATTTCATTAACAAGATACTTTTTTTTAAATCAATCCAACTTTCCTTTGTAGAATTACATTATTGAGAGACCTAAACACGTTGTTGTTATGTCATTTTGTTTCAACGAGGTTCGGAGAGAATTGTTTCATTTCTTTCCAAACATGTGATACCAAGAACAAAAGAAGTGTCTGATGTGTTTTCTAAAACAATAAAGAGAAAAACATATTTTTTCCCCAAATTATATTTTTACCATTCAAAAGATGACCATTAAATTGATGATGTGTAAAATATTCAGAATTTTTTGATGACTGGTTTAAAAGAAACGTGTGTTCAAAAAGTTCACAATATCGATACAATCCTATAAGTACATTAATGTACTGTAAAATATACTGAATTTTTTCAGTACAAATTCATGTACTGAAAAATACAGGACAGGAGATTTTTAAGTACATAGATATCCTGAAAAATGTACTTAAAATTTAAAGATTTTAAGTACAAAAACAGTATATACTGAAAAATGTACTAAAATTTAAGTACATTTAGGGTACATTTTAGTACAAATACAGTATCTCCCTGGGCCAATATGACACATTGAGGAGATTATCCAGGTTGATTATGGTTGACCCTGGTTATTCAAGTTTATTTTGATTAGTTTATTAAATCTTTTTCTGATAGTATCTGATATTAAGTCATTAGAAATAAATGCAAGAATATTTTCTAATTTTTGAGTCAAGATGGAAATGTATCTAGCATGTTTAAAACATTTAAAATAATTATGGTTTATCGATACCCCAATGCTACAAATACAGACATTATACTTCACATTGTAGTCATAATTATAAAGGAAGTAAGATGTGTCTGTAAGGAAGAAATTCTGTAATCAGAATTTTTTTTTGATTTGATAGAGTAAATGCAATTAGACATCACGGGATGTCTTAAATAATGTCCAATTAACTTCACAAAAAACAAAAACTCTGATTACACTAAGACTCAGTCTCTATGTTTGATTTAAAGGATGTGTCTAAAGAATCTTTATCCATAAATAAAACAAAATAATTTGACAAGGCAAAACAAAGCTGATTGCAGGCCAGGGAGACTCTGAGTTTGATTAAGGATGCTATAAAGGAAGCATGCAATGTAATTTAATTATTATATTAGTAGAAATAATCACATTGCTCTAGTGATTTGAATAAAACTATAGAGGTACATGGAGGAGGTAATTATAAGGTTTATTATGAATTATATCTTCTCTCTAATACATAATTTCATAGTTAATTGTTTGTGCCCTTGTGAATCCAAGGAATAAAAAATAAATAATGTTGTATATATACATATGTTAATGTATCCACTGAGATGAATATAAAAGAAAATCAAAATATTTGCATTGTTTCTGTGAACAGTTCTTAACATGGATGCAATGAGTCAGGACATTGATTTATTAACCTACATTTGATAAATGATTGCTATGTGAAATATAATGAGAATCTGATATGTAATTTTAATACAAACATCTTGCAAGGATAGCTGCCCCCCTTTGTCTTTATCCTTCTCTCGCAAACGGCAGATAAGAGTGGCTCTGGCATACCAGAATGAGAGACCACCTATTTATTCTACCCCAGTTTAGGTAGGTCTAGGTGTAGTATGGCAAGTGATTTTAGATGGTCTTTCACCATGAGTACTTTCTTGGCAAAAATACAGTGGTTTTTGTTAAAACAATATGTTTTCTATCAACTGAAGTCCCCATGATGATAAAAATATCAATCAAATAATTCGAAAATTATGAATAGGGGCCCCTTGTCAACAATTTCAAAATATTGAACCTATTTACTTAAAAGACGATCTTCTTTTTCTGATTTTTACTGCATGAAAATATTATTAACAAGTGGTCTAAAGCTACTTCAAAAGTAGAATGGTATTGAAAGTCTAGTTTTGAAGATATCAATTTTCAATGACCAAAATTATTCTGAAAGCAATGGATAGCATGAGTTTTCCCTATGGGAAAATAACATGGGATATGTGGTTTTTAACTTTATAGCATTTCAATACCCATCCCCTTTTCAGAAGTTATTATTACCACCTTCCCAGGCCAGTTCTATTTTAGTGCTAGTTTAGAAGGCATTCATTTTACTATATCGACCTGAGCAATATGTGACGTCATAGTGGCGGTCAATATAGCCTGTCAAGAATGCATTTAATGACTGGCAATTTTCCATAGGAAATTAGATATCGTTCAGTGCATAAGATTTTCTTGCTGTTTCAGTCCTGGTCATTGAATGGTGGTAATATTACTAATAACATCATTTCTGCAGGCAATATAATGAAATATTTCACTATATTGCCCTTCGAAATGACGTTATTGTACTATTAATATAGTGTAGAAGAAACATTTGATATGTTTAATGCCCAAAAAGTACTCATGGTGAAAGATATGACCGTCTAAAATCACTTACCATACTGCATGTTGACCTTTTTGAAATTAAAAAAAGAATATTTTTGTTCCAAACCAAGTTTCAGAATATAAGAACATGGACCAAACAATCAATGATTTATCATTATGAAGTTGGTTGGTTTGCTAAGTTGAGGTCATGGGATGTACAAAGTCACATACATATTCCATTGTCTCTCAAAGGGAAATCCTTTCAAGTTGGTGGTACTGTACCCCTGCCACCTTCTTGTATTTCCTTTTCCAGCTATGACAAATTGTTCTCACCACAGAAATACTTAAACAACAACAAAATGGCCCTTCAATAAAATACTTCAATAAATAAAGTTCCTCTCAGATAAAACATGTACAGGTAGCCAGAATTTTCCAAAGGGGGTTCACTTTTCCAAAAAATTCTAGGGGGAGGTTAAGTTTGGCAAATTTGGCCAAAAATAACTCAAAAAATAGTCAAAATGGTGAAAAACTGCATGATTTTGAAAAAAAATTGGGCCAAGGGGGGTTTGCCCGAACCCCTGGCTACGGGCCTGACATCATTTATATTCATGTATAAGCACAGCGAATGAGTGAAGATATTGATATCCATGAACGGATATAATTGATATTTTTGAAAAACCATTGGATTGTCCATTTATCATTAAGCAATCATCCAACGTTTTAATTACAATGATTCAACAAACATCATAAATATGACAGACTGGGCCATTGAACATCACTTTTTAAGAAGTGATATTTGATGATTTTGGAAATGTTTGCTAAGATATCTTGGTCCACATTTCAAATATCATATCTTTGGTTGATATACAATCTACAGTATATCCTTGCAACCATGGGATATAAAGGATATTTGATAGATAAAAATTCTTGAAAAAATAGAACTTGTCAGTCAAATATTGAAATGAATCAAAGAGAAAGTTTTATTTGAGTTTGATTGTGATCATATATGATCTTTAGTTAAATGCGTAAAATGAAACTTAAAAAAAACTATTTGATAAAATATTGCCTTTGAGATGCGATTTCAGGACAATGAAAGTCAAATCAAAACTTAATCATTATTTGGAACATCATTGGAGTAAAATGTCATTGTTCTTCGAATCAAAAATTGATGAGTTAATTGATTGACTGCTGGATAAAAATGCTCATCTTTATTATGTTTTAATTATTTGTTCACTTGATTTCCTTCTTTTAACAGGGGTTTCACTAGAATTTCTCACAACAGGCTAAATAAATGAAAACAACAGGCAAAATTAATGGAAATCATAAATTTAACATGGAAAAGTTGAAAAGTCCCTAAAAAACAACAAGCAATTTTGTGAAAACAACCGGTGAAAATTGCCTGTTGCCTGCTGCTAATGAAACCCCTGTTTAAGTTAGAGCTTGGACTTAAGAAATTGTAAACAGCTTCTCCTGAAATTTAGTTTAAATTTTGCATACTTCTTTTGAATGTATCTTCCTCTTGATCTGCTTGCAGCAATTGTTTGTTCAGAATGGGGGAACCTTAAAAGATGGTGTAGCTGTGAGTGGAATTCGTCCTGGAAATACTATCCATGTTTCAACAAGCAAAGGTATCTCATACACTGTACAGCCCTAATGTGTAATGTTGTCTCTAAGTCTCAATATCTCAGATAATCCCTGTATCACAAATAGTTCCAATATTTCAAGGAGTCCTTATATCAAAAAGAGTCCAAATAGCTCATATTAAGTTCAAATATCTCAGAATTAGTCCCAATATCTCATATAGTTCAAATATCACAGAATTAGTCCAAATAGCTCATATTAAGTTCAAATACCTCAGATGGTCTTAATATCACAGATAGTCTCATTATCTCATAAAGCCTCAATACCACAGATGGTTTCAATATCGTATGAAGTCTCAATATCTAAGAAAGTTCCAATGGGTAGTTCCAATCTCAGAGGGTTCTGGTATTGCATCATATTTCAGATGGTTTTAAAATCTCATTTAGTCCCAATATCACAGAACTAGTCCCAATATCTCATTTAGTCCCAATATCACAGAACTAGTCCCAATATCCCATATAGTCCCAATATCATAGAATTAGTCCCAATATCTCATTTAGTCCCAATATCACAGAACTAGTCCCAATATCCCATATAGTCCCAATATCATAGAATTAGTCCCAATATCTCATATAGTCCCAATATTTAATATATAGAGTCACATATGAGATAAAGAAACATTATCAAAGCGAGTCAAGAATGGATGGTATTGCACAGATACAAGATCATATTTTCGACTTTTTAAGACAAAACCGATTGGAAAATAGCTTCAAATTTATGAAACTTCATCATTCAATTGTTATGACATCATAACAATATTGTCACGCCTAACCATCGACAAGGTACATGTACAGTGACAAAATATACCATTGTAAACTTTAGATGTACGATGTCACTATTTAACAGATTTGAAGCAAAGACAATGATGTAGGTTTTAAAAAAAAAATCTGATCATGTTTGATTTTTTGTGTATTCGTTTAGGAAGACATTTAACTATAATAACGTTAAAAGATTTTCAAACAGTGCTCGATTTTTTTCGTAGTCAATCTACCCATATAATTGGTCGGTTGGAAAACGTTGTGTTTTTACATATTTCCTTTGATCATTTCCTCCCCTGCCGTCTAAGAGTGTCAAATATTTTCATGAGAATATGTTTCTCTATACTACACAATTTAGGATGGGTGGAGATTAATAATTATTCAAGTATTTATTGGAATTAAAATCTTATTAATGAAATAAAAGGCCTTAATGTTTATCTATTTTGGGGGTTTTTGTTTTAATTTTTTGAATACTTTTTGTTAAATCAACCAAAATTTCCTTTGTACAACTATAATATTGCGATTGAGAGGTCTCAGAGAGAAAAAGTTGAATTTGCTATTTTGTTCCTACAAGGTTCAGAAAGATATTTTATTTCATTCTCATGAATTGGTAGAAAGGAGACAGGTTCCAATTTCAGAATATCTCAAGGGAAAGGGTTTTTGAGGCATTTTTTAGAAAAAGCAACAGACCTATTTCTTCTGGATCAGTTTTTCATGCTGATAAAGATATTAAAAGATGACAGCTCAACGGGGTGGTCACGACACTGAATTTTAGCGTTTTTACCCCCCTAGGAAAATATTCTAGGGGGTACTATGAAACTAGTTCATAACTCAAACGATATATAAACTATTGTTCTGAGTTCTACAGCATACATTGTTAGTACAGAGATGAATACTACCCTAAAGTTATAGGTTGATATCTTTGTTGGTTTTGGAAATAATACAATTAATTAGAAAAAAATATGCAATTTTTGTCATTTTTTTCTTGCTTATTTTATATTTGTAGCTTCAAGCAAAATATGATAACTTAAACAGCTCAAAGTAGTATTCTAACAACATTCCCAAGCTATGTGTGATATTGTAATACATCTATTTTAGTTATGAAGTACTATTTTGTAATTTTAATATGACTTTATAGTGCCCTACCCCTGGTAAATAGAAGAAAGTTGGTGTGGGTTTCTTCTGTTTTTTTTAACATTTTATTGTCTTCTTAGTTGAAGATACAATCAATTCTGTCAGTTAACCATGAGAAGCTTTACAATGGTTAACTATTCCCATGAATAGAGGGTTGGGACCTCAAAAATACTGTTAAGTGGCATCCTTGGGCAACCCTCTTCAGAGCATTTTCCTTATACTCCGATAAAATCTGCAGGGGATACTATAAGAAACCTATATATCTAAGATACTAATGAAGATACTGAATTCAAATTTTCAGGATTTGGTCCTGGTATGATAGGTAATCTGTATGACAAAAATGACAAAAAGAAAAAACTCTGTTGCCATAGTAACAAGAATATGACACTATTTGTTTCCTAAGAAATGTGTTTTAAGAGGTTTTGTCATTCTCTTCATATTTTTAATTCTAAATATGTCTACAATGTGGGATGATTAAAATTATGGTAAAGTAATCTTTTCTATTGTTCTATTGTTCTCTAAAACAGAAGTTGCTAGGGCGACACATAGATCATAGAAAAAATCCTGAGATGATCGCTCTATTTGTCAGGAAATTAAAATGGAAACTGAAAAATGAGTTTCTTCCTACTGAATAGCAATTTGGTAGACCATGGCTGACACGCACAAGAGAAAACGTCTATCAGTTCTATGTCATTTTGTTGTTATTCTTATTTATTTATCGTGCTCTGGGACTTGTAACACCTAATGCTGAATCTTTTCCAACTGCAAAGGAAGGCAAGATTTTAATAATGAACATTCATATATCTCAACAAATATGGCCTAAGATTTGGACAATGATGATGAAACTCTGAGGGAAAATTAGACGAAACATTAATGTGAGTGGCCCAAAAATAACACTTACATGTTTTGAAAAAGTTATGCTCTCGGGTGAATCAGTGCTCATTTAAGGATAGTCTGAATCAGGTGAATTTTTTAACCTAATTGTACCCCTCCCCCAAACCCCCAAATTTTGACAATTGTCGAAAAGTGGCAAACAACAATTAAACAAACATCATTAAAGTTCAATATGGCTATTTCGCTTCTATGTCATAAAGATGTGGTACGATCTCAGGTCAATCAATAAAGTTCACAAGTGACACTCTATCTTATGAAGAAAATATTATCGTATTTGAAGACATGTCAAGAATTTGGTGGAAATAATTTTGTCACTCCTGATTTGACTTGGAAAGGTTCAGGTAAGTAATCACAAACAATTTCAGACAGTTATATCTTTGATTATGACTATTTTCTGACCATGAAGACTGGTATACAGGGATAATTAAGTCAATCGGACTCAGAGATATTTCACTAGCAATCAACCCATCAATATATTTTTTCAAAGTTGTTGACCTCATTTTCACCAAAAATGCCATCATTTTAACAATGTTAACAATTCGGTGTCTTTAAAGTCCCTGGAGCAATCCACTTTTCCTCTTAGGAAATAGAACATGTCTCAAAGCATATTCTAATTATGCATTCAACAATATAATTAAAGGTTGCATCTTTGGTAAAAATTAGGTCAACATTTTTAGTAAAAAGTATGTTGATTGGGCCATTCCCTTTAATATCACTTAGGTCTGATTTCAATCATTATATTTACTTTTCTTGAAGATAATGAATAGATCTAAAAGATATAAGTCAGAAAATATTCATAATTCAAGTTAGAATTGTCTGAAGTTGTTTGCGATAACCTACATGCTCCTTGATAACATTATTATGTAAATACAGTAGAACCTGTGTAAGTGGAACACTCTCCGTTCTGCCACAAAGCGTACCACTTAGAAGGTGTTCCACTTATGGAGGTTTTGGGTTCGCAAGGAACATACAAGATCAAATATAGGATTTATATGTATCATTGGAAATATGATTCTCCCTTCATTACAGGGCATGTATATACCATTAATAATCCATTTAATTTACTCAAAAAGGTATCTGACATTCTTAATCCTCCTCATTCTGCCAAAAATGTTTTCTGACATTCTTAATCCTCCTAATTGTGCCAGTCTCGGGTACAAAGATTAGGCAATTAAGTTTTAAAGACTTGTTCCTACTGCTAATAATTCAATTGTTTTTAAATGACATTTTTAATCTTACTTATTAAGTTTGAAACAAACAGCAAGGGATATTAATTAGTGGTAGCATCACGTGTCCAGTTCTACAGGAGGTTAATCCAATTTTCTGAATGATAATCTAATGAAATCCTAATTTGCTGATTATCAAATTAATTATTGGTTGCATCACATGTTGACCTACCTCTACAGGAGGTTAATCCATTAAAGTCCTAATTTGCCAATTATCACAGTATTACCTGTTTTCATACCCAGATATCATTGAAGGAGATTAATTCTGTTTACATATATCAATATTGAAATCTATGGAAATTGACTGTTCCACTTAGCAGGTTAATTTTTCAATATGGGGTGTTCACTGTTCAAGTTTGGAGGTGTTCCACTTACAGAGGTTTAATTAACATTAAGTCAATGGGTTTTTAAAACGGGACTTTGAAAAGGCGTTCCACTTGGGAGGTGTTCCACTTACAGAGGTGTTCCACTTAGCAGGTTCTACTGTACATTACTTGTGCATGATGACCACCATAGTCTAGTTGCTCAAATGAGATCAATTGATGATTATAATGTTTAGACTTTATGTCAATGTCGAGACTGTATGCCAACCTCTCTAGTATGTGATTACACTAGATTTCATTATGATACATGTACTAAATTGAAAACTTACATATAAAATATCTTAAGTCCTATATTCTAGTAATAAATGAATTAGAATGTCACCTAACATTTGATGATGGTATGAATTTATTGATTTGGTGTCTATCAATACATGTTTCTAACTTAATGCTGCAAAATGATAAAATTCACCACATCCACTTTCTTCAATTTTCCAGGGGTAGGGCACTATAAAGTCATATTAAAATTACAAAATAGTACTTCATAACTAAAATAGATGTATTACAATACCACACATAGCTTGGAAATGTTTTTAGAATACTACTATGAGCTTTTAAAGCTGTCATATTGTGCTTGAAGCTACAAATATAAAAT